TACTGAGTAGCTAGGATCAGAGGCGTGAGCCACCGGCGCCATAGCTTATAGCTGGCTTTAAAGCCTTCAAGCAGAATGTGTCCTCTCCTTCCACTTTGCCTTACCTCACCAAGCTAGCTAAACAACTAACCATGTGCAAAATCAAGAGGAAAAGTGAAGCTGGGTGCCAGTGGCTCAAGCCTGTAATCCTAGGTCTTCAGGAGGCTGAGATCTGAAGATCATACTTCAAAGCCAGCCTGGGCAGGAAAGTTGGCGAGACTCTTTTTATCTCCAGTGAACCACCAGAAAACCGGGAGTGGAGCTGTGACTCAGAAGAAGTAGAACTCTGGCCTTGAGCAGAAGAGCTCAGGCATTCCAAGGCCCTGTGTGGGTGGCTTTAAGTGGAGCAGAGTTGAAGGCCCTTCTTCCTGTTGGGAGGCTGGGAATCCCGAGGCTTGGGAGTCCGAGGATCCACACAGGTGGATGAAGTGTCTGAAGATGGTGTAAGAGGAATGGCAGGGGGGAGGGAGGGGGAAGCAAACCTGATGTCCTTGTGGGTGGAGAATTGGGTGTTGAGGTGAAGTAGAGATGCTGGGTTGAACCAGCGCCACCTTGGCCATGTGGTGGATGAGAGGGTATTGGGTTTCAGTGGTGCCACCCTGTCTTCACGGTGGAGTCAGGGAAGTCCCACCTCCCAGGTGTTGGAAGGGCCTGAGTTCCTGGAGGCGGGGGCGGGACTTGCCTGTGGCCCTGCCTCCCCACCTTATCTAGGCCTAGATGAGCTCAGGCTCAGTCACACTATGCCTGTGGCTCTGTGTTGCCATGTGTGTCCCCTGGCTCTCTTCTGGTCAACATGGTTCTACTTCAGCTCCCCACTGGAGTGGATCTGGTTTGTTGCTATTGTATTTCTGCTGCTTCTTTTCTCTCTGGCTCTCATGGCTCAGTTTTCTTTTTTTCTTTTTTTTTTGGGTCAGTCATGGGGCCTGAACTCTGGGTCTGGGCGCTGTCCCTCAGCTCTTCAGCTCAAGGCGAGCGCTCTACCATTGGAGCCACGACGCCACTTTTGGCTTTTTCTGCTTACAGGGTGCTGAGGAATCAAACCCAGGGCCTCATGCACGCGAGGCAGATAGTCTACCACTGAGCCACCTTCCCATCCCCATGGCTGTTTTCTAACCGTGTTAAGTGTATTTGCAGGCTGCTGGTCTGGCCTTAGTGACTGGAGTCTACGGCCTGTAGACCCCCGGCACGCCAATAAAGCCTCCAGAAAACGATCACTCAAAATGTGGCTTCCCTGTTTTCTCACTGTACAACAGTGGAGGTCAAGGCAGTGCTAAAAGGGTGGTACCAATATGTGGGGGGAACTTTTAAGATAGCAGCTCTGAATGTTCTAGAAGTGACTCTGGAGAAAGAGACAGACCATCTGTGTTCATTTCCCTCAGAGGCCAAGGAGTTGGTTAGGAAAGACTATTTTTCAAGAATAGTTTGGAAAATGTGTGTGGTCTGGAGATGGCCAGGCTCCAGATCTCACTAATAGACTTTAACTCACGATTTTACCAGAACTCTTGAGGCCTAGCCTCAATAACCAAGAAAACGCAGAACAGGGCTGGGAAGGTGGCTCAGTGGTAGAGCGCTTGCCTTGCATGCCCGAGGCTCTGGGTTTGATTCCTCTGCACCGCATAAGCAAAAAGAAAAAAGCCTGAGGTGGCGCTGTGGCTCAAGTGGTAGAGTGCTAGCCTTGAGCTGAAGCGCTGAGGGACAGCGCCCAGGCCCACAGTTCAGGCCCCACGACTGGACCCAAAAAAAAAAAAAAAAAGGAAAAAGAAAACACAGCAGATGGAAGCATGATTTAGGTAGAACAACACCAGCCTGTGCTTGAAAATGGCAAACCCTGAGTTGGAGTCCTGGTTGCAACAGGAGAAAAAGAACACATAGGAGTTTGGGCTCCAATGGCTCATACCCACGGTTCAAGCTACTCGAGGAAGTGGAGATCTGAGGATGGAGGTTCAAAGGCAGCTTTGGCAGGCTGTTCTGCGAGATTCTCTCTTACTGACCAGCAAAATGCCCGACTGGAGGCATGGCTCAAGTGAGCGAAACAATGGAGAGTGCCAGGGCGAGGAGATAATGTTTCAGGAAATAATCTCCCCCCCCCCCCCCCCAGTCCTGGGGCTTGAACTCAGGGCCTGCGCGCTGTCCCTGAGCATCTTTGCTCAAGGCTATCACTCTACCACTTGAACCACAGTGCCACTTTAGGCCTTTTTCTGTATGTGGTACTGAGGAATTGAACCCAGGGCTTCATGCATGCTGGGCAAGCACTTTTGCACTAGGCCACATTCCCAGCCCATGTTGTTTTTTGTTGTTGGTTGTTAGGCTTGAACTCAGGGCCTAGGTGCTGTCCCTGAGCTTTTCTGCTCCAGGCTAGCACTGTACCACTGGAACCACCACTCTACTTTCCTTTTTTTCCCCTGGAGTGGTTCATTGTAGATCAGAGTCTCATAGACTTTCCTGGCCCAGCTAGCTTCAAACCGAGATCCTCAGATCTCAGCCTCCTGAGTAGCTTGGATTACAGGCATGAGCCACCAGCACCTGGCTCCAAAATGTTTAACTTGAATCACTAACCTTAAAATCTCAATCCAGAATCTGGACTCTGAGACTCCTGGCTATGAGCTAAATCTTGGAAAGGGTTAATGATCAACTTTTAGTCATTTTTTGGGGCTAAGAATAAGAAATATGCACCTTGTACTTTGCCTTGAAGACTTGTTAGCTGGACAAACAGATGGACAAGCTCTCAACAATTCAATTTTAAGCTCTAGAACAGTGATCTTCAGAGTGTGTGTGTGTGTGTCCCCTAGGGCTTGAAATCAGGGCCTGGGCTTTGTTCGAGTTTTTTTGCTCAAGGCTAGTACTCTACCACTTGAGTCACAGCTTCACTTCAGGCTTTTTTGGTAGTTTATTGGCTATGAGTCATATTCCTGCCCCGGCTTGCTTCAGATCTCAGCCTCCTGAGTAGCTTGGATGACAGGCGTGAGCCACCACACACACACATGCACGCACGCACACGTGCGCACGCACACGCACACACGCACGCATACGCACGCACGCACACACACACGTACGCACGCACACACACACACGCACGCACACACACGTACGCACGCACACACACACGTACGCACGCACGCACACACACACACACACACACATCTTTTTAAAAGGGTCCTTTTAAAGAGACTTGTTCACCCAACTTAAGCATCCTCTGCCCCCCCTATATGCCAGTTAGAGATGTAGTGAAGGGTGGCAGAGTTAGACGTATGATCTTCCTGCTTTGGGAGGGCAGCACTTTAGTACATCCTCATTTTTTTTTTGTCCAGAGGGGGGGGTGGGCTTGAACTCTGGGCCTGGGCGCTGTCCCTCAGCTCTTCAGCTCAAGGCGAGCGATCTACCACTTGAGCCACAGTGCCACTTCTGGTTTTCCGGTGGTTCATTGGGATAAGAGTTACAGTTTCCTGCCTGGGCTGGCTTTGAACTGTGATCCTCAGATCTCAGCCTCCTGAGTAGCTAGCTAGGATGACAGGCGTAAGCCACCAGTGCCTGGCCCCTCAGTCGGCTTTGTAAGAGGTAAGACATTTGACTTTGGCCTCTGTAGACAGAACTGGAGATTGGGAGCAAGAAGTATGCATGCATAGTGATCCCACATTCCCAGTCTAGGCTGACTATTCTCAGTGTTGGTCTCCCGAGGGTTATAGCTTTACCAATTGAGGGTGAGCTGGAACCAGTCAGCCACTGTAGCTTGCGGGGGAGGGCCTTCCCCTCTCTGTCCTAACTTCTAGCTATTCTTTTCCTTTGGGGCAGGTTTGGCTTCCTGTTACAAGATAAGAAAAAAGGCATTCTTTGCCTTTCTGAGGGACAGTGTGTGTGTGCCAGGATGCCTCACCTGGAGCCGGAGGTGACTGTGAAGTGCCTGTTTGAAAGAATGGCTGTGATCTAAGGCTGTGAAGTGGAGGACTGGGTATCCAACTTTAAAAATTTTGGGGGTTTCCATTCAGGACCTTGTGTTTGCTTGGCAAGTGTTGTGCTGTTTGAGCCATACCCCCTGCTTTTTGCTCTGTGTGTGTACCCCAGCCATGTTTCTTGCTCTGTGTGTGTGTGTGTGTGTGTGTGTGTGTGTGCTGATCTTAGGGCTTGAAGTCAGGGCCTGGGCACTGTCCCAGACTTTTTTTTTTTTTTTGGTCAAAGCTAGTACTCTTCACTAGAAGAGCCACAGCTCCACTTGCAGCTTTTTAGTGGAACATTGGAGATGAGCCTCGTGAACTTTTCCTGCCTGGGCTGGCTTTGAACCGTCATCTTCAGATCTCAGCCTCCTGAGGAGCTAGGATGACAGGCGTGATGGGCCACCGGTGCTGATTGCTTTTTCAATTTTATTTTATTATAGTGCAGTTACTGAAGCTTCAACTTAGGCTCCCCCCCCCATACACACACACTCTTTCTCAGTAAATCCTCCTCTCCCCACGTGAGCCACCTCCGCCTTCAGCGTTTGGTGCTTAATTGGAGATCAGACTCTCAAGGGCTCCCGAGGATGGCCAGAGCTCAGCTTCCTCAGTAGCTGGGGCTGACTACACGTGTGAGCCAAGTGTCCAGCTTTTACTGGTTATCTGGGAGCCTAGAGAAGCTTTCTGCCCCGGGTGGGCCTCGAACCCCAATCCTCCAGACCTCAGACTCTCTGGAGTAGCTAGGGTTCTTTCTCTGAGGCACAGTGATTCAGGTAAATGGCAGGCAAAAACCAGTGTCTACTGATTTTTCTGGAAGAAGTAGGGCAAAGGGGTGTACCTGTTCTAAGTGTCTGAAGAAGACCAGATTAAGTCTCTCTTTGGTGCAGCCCGCCACGCACAGGACGCAGCCAGGTCCTGCGCCACGAAGGCCGCAGGTTGGGCCTTTTGCCCCCAGGGGCGTTCCGTAGTCCCCCCCCCCCCCCCCGCCCCGCGCAGGCGCAGACTCCGCGGCGCCCACGCGGACGCGCGTGCGTACTTCAGCGCACCGGTCGGTTGGCTCACCGGCAGAGCAAAAGATGGCGGCGGCGATGCGGGTGGCGGCGGTGAGGGGCCGGCTGGGCTGGCTCGCGGGCGGCCTCCGCACCGCTCTCCGCGGCCTCTGCAGCCAGCAGCCGGCCACGGTGACGGAGCGCATCGAGAGCAAGCGCCGGGCGGCGCTGCGGGGAGGCGGCCAGCGCCGCATCGACGCGCAGCACAAGCGGGTGAGCGCCCGGCGGCCGGGGTCCCGCCCCTCCAGCGCTGGCGGCCTATCACGAAGCTCCGGGCCCGCGGCGCGCCGCGCCTCCCAGCCAATGGGCGTCTCGCGTGGTGGGGGCGCGCGGGGCGCGCTCTCCGGGAGAACCTGGGGCCTGGCGGGCTGGAGCCAGGCCCGGCCTCGGGGGTGCGTGTCACCCGCGGCCCCGGCCGCAGCCCGAGTCCAGGCGGGTCTGCATGAGCTCCTTTCACCACCCGAATAACCTAAGCTCCCACCCCCCACCATGCTTGGGATTTGAACTCAGGACCTGGGCACCGAGCTGCTTTTGCTCAAGGCCAGCTCTCTACCCCTTGAGCCACGGCGCCACTTCCGGCCTTCTCTGTGTCTGTGGTGCTGAGGAATCGAACCCAGGGCTTCACGCGGGCTAGGCGAGCGCTCTACCACTGAGCCACTCTCCCAGCCCCTCACCCCCTCTTCCAATAAACTTTTTGAGTGTGTGCGTGTGGGTGCTGGTCCTCGGGCTTGAGCTCAGCGCCTGGGCCCTGTCCCCTGGGCCCTGTCCCCCGAGCTGCTCTTGGCGCAGGGCTGGCGCTCTACCACTTGAGCCACACAGCTTCCACCTCTGGCCTGTGTTTTTTGTCCTTCTGCTGGTTAATCGGACTTGACTGCTTTGACCCACCAGGAATAGCTAGCCAGCTTCGCACCTGTAAACTTTTGTGCAAGTTAGTATCTACAAAACAAAAACTAGACACCTGTTTATCGTTCTCCTGGCCCCAGGAAAAAAAAAAAAAAATCCCATGATGGAAGAAGGAACTTGGAAGCCTGGTAGGGGAAATTGTGTGGTCACATTGTTTTTAGGCTACAAAGGGATGCCCAGGGACCTCTAAACAAACACCTCTCGTCTGCAGAAGGCCAGATGTCAGCCTCTTGAAGGTCTTACCATGTTGGGCCTGCAGGGTATAAACCTGGTGGCTAGGGCTGGGAAGGTGGCTTAGTGGTAGAGTGCTTGCCTAGCATGCACAAAGCCCTGGGTTCAATTCCTCAGTACCACATTCACAGAAAAAGCTGGAAGTGGCTCTGTGGCTCAAGTGATAAAAGTGCTAGCCTTCAGCACAGAGAGGTTCAGGGGGGACACTGCCCAGGCCCTGAGTTCAAGCCCCAGGACTGGCAACAGAAACACCAAAACTGGTGGCCATTCTGGTATGGCTGCGCCTACACTGTTGTACAGACAGCTTGAGACACTGCCCCCAACTCTAGGCTTTTGAGATTGACTGTCGGCCTTAGGTAACAAGTTAGGTGGGCTCTGAAGCAGCTTAAGAAACCCAGGCTGTAAGAGGTCATGAAGCTGCTTCCCCAGCCCAGTCCTGACTGGCAGGTGAACCTCCACCCACGTGCTGGACACTAAGCCATCTCCAAGTAGGTACGAGCAAAGCTACAGGTGAAAGGCATTCTTTGCTACGTAAGTGTGGGTGAAGTGACTGAGCCCAGAGAGGGCTGCGTGCCTTTGGGGTTTGGACCGCCCCATCCTTTATCATAAAGCGTTGACTCAGATGTCATTAAATTCACCTCAGAGGTAAGGCCGGAGGGTGACTGTTCCTCTTTTCCTCTTGGGAGTGAACTGTAAATTTGGTTGGTGGTTTGTGGTGTGAGGAATGCTTTTCCTCCCTCCCCTGCAGCTGCTCTGTGGCAGGAAGGACTGTTAGAAGCGACTGCCACCGCTTTAGACACTTTTCGTTGGGGCAGTGTTGGGGCTGGGAGGGGGAGGGGTGGGGAGGGGATGGCTGTAGCTCAGCTCCTGCACCCTTTCCAAGACACTTTTTTTGGGGGGGGTCCGGTCGTGGGGCCTGAACTCTGGGCCTGGGCGCTGTCCCTCAGCTCTTCAGCTCAAGGCTAGCGCTCTACCACTAGAGCCACAGCACCACTTCCAGCTTTTTTCTTTTTGCTTTATGTGGTGCTGAGGAATTGAACCCAGGGCCTCAGGCATGCAAGGCAAGCACTCTACCACTGAGCCACCTTCCCAGCCCCTCAAGACAGACTCTTGTGGGTTTACTGCTGCCTGTTTTTTGTTTGTTTGTTAAAGCTGATTTAGTCAAGGACAAACGTCCACTCCGTTGTGTTTTTTTTTTTTTCTTGTCGGTCATGAGGCCTGGGTGCTGTCCCTCAGCTCTTCCGCTCAAGGCTAGCGCTCTACCACTTGAGACACAGTGCCACTTCTGGCTTTTTCTGCTTATGTGGTGCTGAGGAATCGAACCCAGGGCCTCATGCATGGAAGACAAGCACTCTACCACTGAGCCACCTTCCCAGCCCCACTTCCACTGCTTTTTAATGGATCATTTATACAATAGTTTTCCTAGAGGTGGATTTAAGTGAGGCAAAAGGTTCTCTCCCTCTCCCTATGTGTGTGTGTGTGTGTGTGTATGTAAGTTACATATATATATTATATACATACATATATTGCTTTTGGAAAGTTGCTTTTCCCAAGACTTACTCTGCTTGACACAGTTAAGCCTGTTTGCTTACTTTCCTATGGGAGAAAAACCACCAACTTAGTTTCTTTGTTTTGGTGGGGGAGGTAAAGTGAACTAAGGTCTTGGCTCTGGCTGGGGTTTGGTACACTGAACACTAGAGGCTGTTAATAGGTTGTGGGCCCCAGGGTTACCTCTAAGAAGCATTTTCAAGTCAGATTTAATTTTTCTCTCTGTCTCTTTTTCTCTCTCTCTTTTTACCAGTCTTGGGCTTGAACTCAGGTCCTGGGCTTCTTTTGCTCAAGGTTATTGCTCTACTACCTGGGCCATAACTCCACTTCCAGCTTTTTTGATGGTTAATTGGAGATAAGAATCTCACAGACTTTTCTGCTTGGGCTGGCTTCAAGTCAAGCTCCTCGGATCTCAGCCTCCTGAGCAGCTAAGATTATCGGCGTGAACCACCAACACCTAGCTTCTTCATACCTTTTAATGGGCCTATTTTAGTTTTTTCCTTCTTATGTCGCCATTTTTTTTTTTTTTTTTTTTTGCCAGTCCTGGGGCTTGAACTCAGGGTCTGGGCACTGTCCCTGAGCTGCTTTTGCTCAAGGCTAACAATCTACCAGTTGAGCCACAGTGCTACTTACGGCTTTTTCTGTGTATGTGATACTGAGGATTCAAACCTAGGGCTTTATGCCTGCTAGGCGAGCACTCTACCACTGAGCCACCTTCCCAGCCAGCCCTTCATCCTTTTTATTTTATTTTTTAGGCTCCTTAGGTCTCCAGTGTTTGTGAAACTACTTGTCCTGCGATCGCCACAGTTCATAGCTCCTGGAGTGTCCTGTCCCCCCGCTTTCCTCGCCCTGCCTGCCTTGGGCAGGGCAGAGGGAGAAGGGACTTCTGCAGCCCCCACCAACCCCCCTTCCTTTGCTCACTCAGGGGATGATGACATCACTGAGTGGTTTCTGCTGTGTTCTAGGGAAAGCTGACTGCCAGGGAGCGGATCCACCTCCTGCTGGACCCTGGCAGCTTTGTGGAGACTGACATGTTTGTGGAACACAGATGTGCAGATTTTGGAATGGATGCCGAAAAGAATAAGGTACCTGTTCCCGTGGACGTGCTGCCCCGCTGCGGCGCTGCCGGCCGCCTGCCTGGGGAATGAGTCTGTAGTCCTCGGGAGAAGGAACCACTGGGGATTTCATGGTCTTCCTTCCCCTCGCCTTCCATTCTCCTCCTCCAGCCTCCGGAGTGCTGGTATTCCAGGTGTGTGCCAGCATGCCCTGATGCCATGATTCTTGGTTGTTGTTTTTGTTTTTATATCTTTTGGCAGTACTGGGATTTTGAACTCAGGACTTTCTGCTTTCCAGGCAGGCACTCTACCACTTGAGCCAGACCCCCAGCCCTTTCTAGTTATTTTTCAAATAGGCTCTCAAGTTTATGTACATGTCTGGCCTTGGCTTTTTTTTTTTGGTCAGTTGTGGGGCTTGAACTCTGGGCCTGGGCACTGTCCCTCAGCTCTTCAGCTCAAGGCGAGCGCTCTACCACCTGAGCCACAGCGCCATTTCCAGATTAGATTTTTCTGAGTCTGTGGTGCTGAGGAATTGAACCCAGGGCCTCATGCATGTGAGGCAAGCGCTCTACCACTGAGCCACCTTCCCAGCCCTGGCCTTGACTTCTTTCCTATCCGCACTTTCCCTGTAACTATAGTGACAGTTGTACGCCGCCATGCCCTCCTTTTTACTGTTGGAGATGAAAGTCTCCCAGCCGACCTCATTCTTAACCTCCCAAGAAACAAGGATTGCAGCATGAGTCACCATGCCTGGTTTTGAGCTTCTCCTTCTTTTTCTTTTTACTTTATTATGTCTAAATAGTTGTACAATGTAGTTGCAAGTCAGTTTGTGAGTACCGCGCATCTTGATCAGCATCACCCCTTTCATTATTCTTCCTTCATGTCTTTTTTTGTGCAGTCCTGGACCTTGAACTCAGGGCCTGGGTGCTATCCCTGATTATTTTTTTGCTCAAGGCTAGTTAATACTTTACCACCTGAGCCACAGCTCTACTTCTGGCTTTTTGGTGGTTCATTGGAGATAAGAGTCTCCTGGACTTTCCTGTTCCAACTGGTTTTGAAACTGGATCCTCAGATCACAGCCTCCTGAGTAGCGAGGATGACAGGCGTGAGCCACTGGTGCCAGGCTCCTTTCGTGTCTCTTTATATGTCCACTTGCTATGAGCAGATAGCATTTGTGGCCCTCAGAGAGTCTTGTAGTTTTTGTTTTGCCTTTTTTCCTTCCCATTGCTCTGAATCAAACCCAAGGCCTAATGCCTGCCCTGCCAGTACTTTATCACTGAGCCACACCATCAGCCCAATTACTGCACTTTTGGAAGGAAGATGGCCCCTCCTTTTGCTGGAGTGAGAATCAGTGTTAGCTACCACACAGCTACAGAATAAGGGGTGAAATTTCTTTTCATCCTTATGCAAATGAAGGAATTAGTTGTGTGTTTGTATGTGGCTTTTGTGAAGGCATAGTGGACAGATTCATTCCGAGTATTTGGCCTGGCGCTGGTGGCTCACACGTGTAAACCTAGCTACTCAGGAGGCTGAGATCTGGGGATTGTGGTTCAAAGCCAGCCCAGGCAAGTTCATGAAACTTTTTTTTTCCCCAGTTGTAGGGCTTGAACTCAGGGCTGGGGTCGAAGAGGAGCCCACACATCCATTCCAGGGGACCACGCAGAGGCAGGCAGGCACAGGAGAAAGATTATTAGAAGGTCTGTTAAGAAGCCATAGTTCCCCCAAGAGAGAGCACCTGGCCTCCTTCCCCACGCAGGTAGCAGAGGTGTGAGGGAAGGCAGTGAGGTAATTCAGGTGGGTCTGGGTGGAGAGAGGGAGGGGCCAGCTGTACGGAGGGAGCTCTGGGAATGCAAGGGGGCCCAGGCGTGGGTGGAGCTGAGGACCAAAGGTGAGCATAATACTAACTGGGTGCTGCCCCTGAGCCTTGTGTTCAAGGCTAACGTTCTACCACTTGAGCCACAGCGCCACCTTGGGTTTTGAGTGGTTCACTGGAGATAAGAGTCTCACTGGGACTTGTTTGCCTCGGCTGGCTTTGAACTGCCATCCTCAGATCTCAGCCTCCTGAGTAGCTAGGATGTCAGTGAGCCACGGGTGCCTGGCTTTTTTTTTTTTTCCTTTGAACTCTTATCTCTAATTAACTACCCAAAAACTGGAAGTGGTGCTGTGGCTCAAAGTGCGTACAGTCCTAGCCTTGAGCACAAAAGCTCAGGGACAGCATCCAGGCCCTGAGTTCAAGCCCCACGACCCACCAGAAAACAAAAACCACAAAGGGTATTTGGAATGTCCTGCTTTTATTTCTCCATTCCTCCGTAGTTTCCTGGAGACAGTGTGGTGACCGGACGGGGCCGGATCAATGGAAGACTGGTTTATATCTTCAGTCAGGTATGTCATGGCTCTGCTCGTCTGGGCTTTCCTGGGAGGTGGAAAGAAGCAGGAGCAAGGGGCTGGGAAGGTGGCTCAGTGGTAGAGCGCTTGCCTAGCATGCATGAGGCCCCAGGTTCGATTCCTCAGTACCACATACACAGAAAAATCTGGAAGTGGCGCTGTGGCTAGAGCTCAGGTACAGCGCCCAGGCCCAGAGTTCAAGCCCCATGGCTGACAAAAAGAAGCAGGAGCAAGATACAGGGGAGTGCCATTTCAGGCATGGTTTGTGTCGCAGGAAGGATTTGCTGTGTGCCAAGGTGACAGAAAGCCAGCAGTGTGTGCACAGAGGATCAAACCACGTGCTTTCTCCCTACAAGGGAGAGTCCATCTGTTTTGGGGCGAGTCTCAGTGCTGGAGGCTCCCGGAAGGGGCCCCAGGAAAGCGGGAATGAGATACCTTTGGCCATAGGCCTAGGAGACCCTCGCAATCCCGGGCAGCAAAGGTCCAAAGCAGAGCAGCAAACGCAGCGCGTGCGCGCGGAGGGAGCGGGCTCTAGGCCCATGAGCCTTCGCCAGCACCTCCAGCGCCCCGACCTCTGTTACCTGGGAGCGCTACCCATCACGGAGAGGAAAAACTCAGGTCTCCGGTCAGTCCCACGGGGGACTCCAGGTGGCCGAATCCCAGGGGTCCTTAGAAGTGGAAAGGCGGAAGAAGAGGTCAGAGACATTTGGTGTGGGGAGGACTCCACCTGTGCTCCTCAGCGTTTTTTTTGCCAGTCCTGGGGCTCGAACTCGGCCTGGGCGCTGGCCCTGAGCTTCTCTTGCTCAAGGCTAGCGCTCTGCCACTTGATCCACAGCGCCACTTCTGACTTTTTCTGTGTCTGTGGTACTGAGGACTTGAACCCAGGTCTTCATGCATGTGAGGTGAGCACTGTACCACTGAGCCACCTTCCCAGCCCTGGTCGCCGGTTTTAAAGGAGTGTGGGCTGGGAAGGAACGCAGTGCCCAGAGGTTAGGAAGGTGCAGCCCTGGAGCCGGCGCGCCTGTCGGTCTCAGCTTGCGCCGAGGAGGCCTGCGTGGACGCCAGCCCTCAGCAGCACGAGCTCTCGCTTGTCCTGAGCCCCCGCATTTGCGTTGATGCGCTCTCGCAGGGCGAGATGCTAACACAGTATGTTGGATGGTGTTTTAGACTTCATGCCCCGCCCCCACTCCATAAGTGGAAGTTATATAAATGTAGATAATAATTTTTTTTTTTTTTTTGCTGTTTATGTGGTGCTGAGGAATCGAACCCAGGGCCTCAGGCATGCAAGGCAAGCGCTCTACCACTGAGCCACCTGCCCAGCCCCAATAATTATTTTTGCAACAGGATCTCACTAGGTACATGGTTCAAGCTGGCTTCCAACTTGGGTTTCTCTCTTTGAGCCACAGCACCATTTCCGGTTCTCTTGTGGCCATCAGAGCTAAGAATCTCACAGACTTTCCTGCCCCTGCTGGCCTCGAACCGTGATCCTCAGCTCTCTGCCTCCTAAATGGCTAGGCTAATAGGCATGAGCCCCAGCGCCCGACTTGAGTTTAGTATTGGGATTACAGATGTGTGTGGCTACACTGGACTTGGGCCAAAACTGATAGATGGAACCATTAAGAAAGAGGATAGAAAATATTTCAGAGTTTCAGTGTTTTCTGGAAATGTGTTTATGTTCTTTTTTTGGGGGAGAAGGGGGAGGTGTCAGTCATGGGGCTTGAACTCTGGGCTTGGGTGCTCTCCCTGAGCCCTTCAGCTCTACCACTAGAGCCACAGCGCCCCTTCCAGTTTTCTGAGTGGTTTATTGGAGAGAAGAGTCTCACAGTCTCTCCTGCCCAGGCTGGCTTTGAACCACGATCCTCAGATCTCAGCCTCCTGAGTAGCTAGGAGCACAGCATGAGCTGGTTCAGCTTGCTTTCGGGGGTGCAGCCTGGGGCGGTGTGTTTCTTTGGTTCTGCGTCTGCCCTTCTGGGGGTTACTGGTCTGAGGCGGAGCTTCCCTGGGGGAGAGGTGCTTTCATCCCACCCCTTCTTGTGTGTGTCCCCTGCTGCAGTCTTAAATCTCCACCAGCTTGTTGTTGTCGTTGGTACTAGGGCTTGAACTCTAGGCTTGGGTACTGTCCTTGAGCTTTTGTGCTCAAGGCTGGAATTCTACCACTTAAACCACAGCTACCCTTTTAGCTTTTTGGTGGTTAATTGGAGATGAAGAATCTCCTGGCCTTTTCAGATCTCAGCCTCCTGAATAGCTCGGATTACAGGCGTGAGCCACCAGGCCCAGCTCCCAACAGCTGTGTTTCTGATGGCGTTTGGGGCTGTAGGTCTCAAACAGGTTGGTGGAGGGGAATGAAAGCTCCACATCCCCCTTCCTTTTTGATCTCCACAGACTCTCCTAGTGCAATCCGACGCTTTGTTTGCTCAGAGACAGAAAGATGGATTGATAATGAGGACTAAAGAGTCAAGACCGCCTCTTTTGTTCTGGCCCTTGAGCTGTCTTTCAGCAATACTTCACTCTGTTCTGCAGAACTGTCTATAAATCAGACATTTCCCTAATTTTTTCAACTTTTTTTTTTTGTTGTTTTTTGGTCGGTCGTGGGGCTTGAGCTCTGGGCCTGGGAGCTGTCCCTCAGCTCTTCAGCTCAAGGCAAACGCTCTACCACTCGAGCCACAGCGCCACTTCCGGTTTTCTGGTGGTTCGTTGGAGATCAGAGTCTCACAGGGACTTTCCTGCCCGGGCTGGCTTCAAACCCTGATCCTCAGCTCTCAGCCTCCTGAGTAGCTAGGATGACAGGCGTGAGCCACCGGCGCCCGGCTTTTTTCAGCCTTTGAAACGCCTTTGCAATGCTTGAGCTCTCCCGGTTGGGTCTTCCTCTCAGGCTAGTGGAGGCTGTCCTTGCTGATGCCATTGTCTTCCTCCCAGGACTTTACAGTGTTTGGTGGCAGTCTGTCGGGAGCGCACGCGCAGAAGATCTGCAAAGTAAGTGTTGAGGAAGCGTGAGCCGGTGCCGCGCTCACCGGCGCGGTGCGTGCTGAGCGCGTGGGGTCGCCCTGGGTGGGGCCTTGCTGAAGAGCAGCGCTGCACGGGATGCACCGGCCGGGCGACTCTCGCCTGTTGCTTAGTTTTTCTTCAGAGTTTGGATGCAGATCCTCATGCTTGTTGGGCAGGTGCTCTTACTTCTGAGCCACACCTCCAGGCCTGGCTTTTGCTGGCTATTTTCTAAATAGGGTCTCACTTCCTGGCATATGCCTGAGCAACACCCATCAATGTTAGGGTCCCCCCCTCCCCAGCTCTTGGTTGAGAAAGGGTTTTGTGAACTTTTCTGCCAAGGATGGCCTCTGACCATGATCCTCCAATTTCAGCCTCCCGAGTAGCTAGGATTACAGTTGTGAGCCAATAGTGCCCAGCTGTAACTTTATTTCCCCCCCTCCTGGATGGAGGACCTGAACTCAGGGCCTCAGGACGGTCCCTGAGCTCTATTGCTCAAGGCCAGCTTGGAGCCACAGCACCACTTCCGGTTTTCTGGAGGTTAATTAGAAATGAGAGTCTCACAGATTTTTCTGCCCTGGCTGGCTTTGAACTGCAACCCTCGGATCTCAGCCTCCTGAGTAGCTGGGGTGACAGGTGTGAGCTAGCAGGGCCGGGTTTTGTTTTTTTGCCAGTCCTAGGAACTCTGGGCCTGGGCGCTGTCCTGAGCTGCTTTTGCTCAATGCTAGCGCTCTACCACTGAGCCACCTTCCCAGCCGTCTCCAGTGTTTTGAAGGCTTGAATGGGCCCAGGAGTGCTAGGGACTGCAGGCCGGGCCCCGCCGCCTGTTTGGGGAGCATGTTGCGGGCACTTTGCGCACCACGCTGCCTGTCGGAGTCTGACAGCACTTTCTCCGCCACCTCAGATCATGGACCAGGCGATGATCGTGGGGGCCCCTGTGATTGGGCTGAATGACTCGGGGGGCGCTCGGATCCAAGAGGGCGTGATGTCCCTGGCTGGCTACGCAGACATCTTCCTGGTGAGAAACCTAGCCACAGAGACTGTGCAAAGGTACTGTGCTCAGTCCTCCAAGCACCGCAGGCAGGGCTTCCCCGCATGCCCCCGCTGGTCCCAGCCCTCCGGCCTCCTGCAGCTCCCTGTGTCTGGGAAGGGGGGGTGGGTGGAAGACAGCCTGGACCACTGCGGGTTTTTATCTCCTCTGATAGGGGAGGCCAGTCAAGGGGGGACAGCACGCAGTTAGCTCAAGGTCATGCCTAAGGGAAAGCTCTGGAAAATATTAGCTCTTCAAAAGCAGGAGAATCAAGCTTAAAACTAAGTGGTGTATTTGAACTACTATTTTATTTTTTTGGTCGGTCCTGGGGCTTTTGAACTCTGGGCCTGGGCACTGTCCCTGAGCTGCTTTTGCTCAAGGCGAGTGCTCTACCACTTGAGCCACAGCGCCACTTCTGGCTTTTTCTGCGTATGTGGTGCTGAGGAATCGAACCCTGGTCCCCATGTGTTCAAGGCTGGCATTCTACCACTGAGCCACCTTCCCAGCCCTGTGTGCATGCACGGATTTTTGCACCGTGCGCCCTGGACTGGGCTCCGCGCAGCCGTCTGTGTTGGGGCTCAGAAGAACGGGGTGAGGCTGGCCACCAGGCCTTGGGCCGGCAGCCCAAGCATCCTCGAGTCTGGGCTGCTCTTCCCAGGGAGTACATTACGGCTTTGCTCTGGCAGCCAGCTTGGCCTTGTGGAATCTGGGCCTCCCTCCTTCCTCCCCTCCCTTTGTCCCTCCCTCCCTCCCTCCCTCCCTCCCAGGGATGGGCAGAGGTGGAGGGGTGTAGCTGATGGCCTCTGGAGGGGAGGATGGGGAGGTCACCGAGCTGGAGAGGGTTTTTGTGCCCTGGGGTGGGAGGAGCGGGTGGGGGGCGGGTCCCCAAGAAGCGAGGGCAGCCTCACCAGGAGCCTTGCTGCGGGAGTGCTGCGCTGCCCGCGGCTCGCCCCTCTGCTGACCGCTGCCCCTGCCTGCCTTTGCTGACAGAGGAACGTCACGGCGTCGGGGGTCATCCCGCAGATCTCTCTGATCATGGGCCCCTGCGCGGGCGGCGCCGTCTACTCCCCAGCCCTCACGGACTTCACGTTCATGGTGAAGGTAAGAAAGCAGAGCCCGCGCCTCCCGACCGGGGCCCAGCCTGGCCTTGGGCGCCCCGGAAGGTCTCTGCGGAGAGAAGGCGTGGGCACGGTGCGGAGCTGCTGGCTGCGGTGCGGTGCGTGCGTGAGCCGCGCTAGGCCATCCCAGCGCAGGTGCTGTGCCTGTGGTCAGCAACGGAGGATGGCTGTGCCCCCCCCGCCGTGTGCGGTCCTCCTGGACTGTCTGCTGGTTCATCTGTGTTTTGTCATGGCAATGGTGGATCTGATCTAAAAGCCCAGTTTGTCTTTTTTTTTTTTTCTGTCAGTTGTGGGGCTTGAACTCTGGGCCTGGGCGTTGTCCCTCAGCTCTTCAGCTCAAGGCAAGCGCTCTACCACTTGAGCCACAGCGCCACTTCTGGTTTTCTGGTGGTTTATTGGAGATAAGAGTTTCACAGCTTTTCCTGCATGGGCTGGCTTTGAACCGTGATCCTCAGATCTCAGCCTCCTGATTAGGATGACAGGCGTGAGCCACCGACACCCAGCTGGCTGCCCTTTCTTAACCACAGTAAACCACTGACTCACCCCCCCCCCCCCCAGTACTAGTTATTGAACCCAGGGGCTCCTGTGTGCTTGACAAGCTCTGAGCATGCCCCAGCCCTTTGTACCGTAGCTGGGATTACAGGTACACACTACCATGCTGGACCACAGCCACTGTTCTTTTTATTGCATCTGTTTTCCCTTTTCCAGAATATTTGGAACTTTCCATTATGTAGTCTCTTCAGACTGCCTTTTCCCTCTCTCTCTCTCTCTTTTTTGGTACATTTAGGTTCCTTTCATGGCTGAGTTTTTGTGGTGGTACCGGGGTTTGAACTCGGGGCTCACGATTGCTTGGCAGGCAGGTACTCTTGTCACTTGTGCCTACCTCTAGCCAGTCCGCGTTCATGTATTTTTAGCACCAACTAATGTTGCATTGTGTGGCTGGGTCAGGCACTGCCCATCTGTTCATCCACCAGAGGATTTCTTGGTTCCTTCCAGGCTTTTGGCATTGTCAGTAAAGCTGCAGTCCATGTCCAAGGGTACATTTTGGTTTGGACCTAAGTGGGTACAGATCACAGAACCAGGCTTGAAGAACCCCATCTTAAAAATGCGCTTAGTTTAGTTAGGAGCTGCCAGGCCGTCTGCATTTCCACCAGCAGCGGCTGCCGCTCCCCTCGAGCCGCGTTCCTGCCAGCATCTGGTCTCGTCACTAGACTTTGGCCGCTGTCTCGGGTGCAGCAGCATCTCATTGCGGCTCACGATCCCAGTGACGTATGCGCGGCGTATTCTCCTATGCGGTTTGCCAGCTATAAGCCGTCCAGTGAAGGTCCTTGGCCTTTTTTTTTTTTTTGCTGGTCCTGGGGCTTGAACTCATAGCCTGGGCACTGTCCCTGAACCCCTCTCTGCTCAATGCAAGTGCTCTGCCACTTGAGCCACGGCGCCACTTCCTACTTTTTCTGTGTCTGTGGTACTGAGGAATTGAACCCAGGACTTCATGCATGCTAGGCGAGCACTCTACCACTGAGCCACCTTCCCAGCCCCCAGTCCCCCCCCACCCTTTTTTTTTCTGGTAAGTGGATTGTGCTCTTCTTGTTGCATTTTAAGAGTTGCTTGTGTGGTTTGGATAATAGTCCTTTGTGCAGTGTAAATAGTTTCACCTGATCTGTGGCTTATCTTTTCATTCTCTCCAGTGTTTTTCTTTCTTTTTGTTGGCCATAGAGCTTGAACTTGGGCCTGGGCGCTGTCTCTCAGCTCTTCAGCTCAAGGCGAGCACTCTACCACTTGAGCCACAGCGCCACTTCTGGTTTTCTGGTAGTTAATTGGAGATCAGAGTTTCATGGCCTTTACTGCCTGGGCTGGCTTTGAACTTTGATCCTCAGATCTGAACCTCCTGAGTAGTAGGATTACAGGCGTGAGCCACTGGCGCCTGGCTTGAACTCAGGTTTTTTTTTTTCTGTTACTGTTGTTTTGTTTTTAATATTCATTAAATAATTTGTGGGGTTTCAGTACTTCAGTTGCGACCGTGTCAAGTCTGTAGATGGTTTGAAGAGAAGTCTTCATATCATGTTTCTGTCCGTGAACATAAAACGTCTTCTAATGCTTAGTCTTCTAATTCTCAACAGACTTTTTAACTTTTTATATACCTGTTACATATATTACTTAAATAAGACCGTGGTTTGTATTTAACTTACTTCAACAAATAGGCAAGGAGTAGGATTTTGTGTGTTAGCGTTGTACTGTGCTAGCCTGCCATAATGAATTACTAGTTCCAGGAATATTTTTGTCAGTTCTTCCAGATTTTCTACATAGGTGATTATGTCATCTGAGAATAAGGACAATTTGATTTGCAGTCTTTCTGCACCTTTTATTTCCTTGTCGAATTACACAAGCAATGACTTTCATATTTTGTACCAAAATGCTGGGGTTTGCTCGCTCAGCTTTTTACTCATGGCTGGAACTGTGCCATTTGAGCCGTGTCCAGCCCTTCACTGATTAATTGGAGTTTTCTTCCCAGGCTGGCTTTGAACCTTGATTCCCCATAGGATACCATAGATTAGAGGCCAGGGGCAGAATGTCCTCGCATCTCAGTGTCCAAGGTTGTCGCTGACAGACGTCAGCTGTGAGTTTTCTGAAGATGTTCTTTTTCAAGTTGAAAGAGTTGCCCTCGCCAGTTTGCAGACAGTTTTTGTTTTGTTTTTATCATGAATGAATATTGGAATTTGTTTGGGGCTTTTTAGCAGTTGACTTCGCCTTGCAAATCAGTAACTCTTACTTGATTTCGGTGTGTAACTTTAATCTTTCGGGATCAGCTTGCTAAGGTTTTGTTGGTGATTTCTGCATGTATGCTCATGAAATCGGTCTGTCTTCCATTTGCAATGTCTTTAGTTACGAAAATGCTATCCTCTGCTTCCATTTTTTGAAAGAGGTTATAGAGAATTATTATAATTTCCCCCTTGAATTTTTGTAAGATTAACCAAAAAATTCATTTGGATATCGTACTTTCTATATGGAAAGGTTATTAATTATTCAATTTCTTTTATATAGGCCTATTCAGATTATAGCTATATAAAACTAGATTTATATCTTTATATATACATACATATATTAATAATTATATATATATATATTTGATTTTTTTTGCCAGTCCTGGAGCTTGAACTCAGGGCCTAGGAACTGTCTCTGAGCTCTTTTGCTCAAGGCTAGCACTCTGCCAACTTTAGCCACAGCGCCACTTGCAGCGTTTTCTGTGTATGTGGTACTGAGGAATTGAACCTAGGGCTTCATGCATGCTAGGCAAACACTCTACCACTGAGCCACCTTCCCAGCTCTCCTTGAGCTTTTTTGCTCAAGGCTAGAATTCTACCATTTGAGCCACAGCTCTACTTCTGGCTTTTTGGTGGTTCATTGGAGGTAAGAGTCTTAAGGGCTCTCCTGTCTGGGCTGGCTTTGAAATGTGATCCTCAGATCTCAGCCTCCTGAGTAGCTAGGATGACAGGTGTAAACTAGTGGACTTCTACCTTAGACTGTGTGTGTGTGTGTGTTCATTCCATATATATATATATATTTGGAATGGATTTGGCACATTGTCTTTCGGGAATCGGATTACTGCATTTATGTTATCAAATCTGTGACTATAGAGTTGTTCTTGGCAGCTTTGTTGGGTTTTTTTACTCTCTTCCATTGGTTCTGTAGTGATTTTTTTCTCCCGCTATTGGTAATTTGTATCCTCTTCTGTTATTTATTCTAGCTGGAGGCTTGTAAGTGTTCATTAATGTTTTTCAAGAGCCAACTTTTAGTTTTATTGGCATGTTTTCAAGGTGATTGACTTCTGTTGTAATTTTTATTTCTAATTTGTATTTAACACTCACTTTTCCTCATCTTCCTTTCTCCTCCTCTCTTTCTTTCTCTGTTTGTTGTTTTTGTGCTGTTCCTGGGTGCTATCCCTGTTTTGTTTTTTACTTTTTCTTTTGGTCAGTCATGGGGCTTGAACTCTGGGCCTGGGCGCTGTCCCTCAGCTCCTCAGCTCAAGGCGAGCGCTCCACCACTTGAGCCACAGCACCAGTTGCCAACTCTTTTGGTGTACTTAATTGGAGATAAGAGTCTCACAGACTTTCCTGCCTGGGCTGGCTTTAAACTGTGATCCTCAGGTCTCAGCCTCCTAAGTAGCTAGGATGACAGGCGTGAGCCACCAGCGCTGGGCTTTCTAATTTATGTTCTTTGTTATAAAACAAACGACACAGAGCTCGTTTGTTTTCTGTGCTGGTTTCTGTATCTGTTACTTTCCTCCCACACTCCCAGCAGCCTTGCCACGCTGCCTGTGCCGGCTGCCTCACACAGCCGCCGGTTGCAGCCCCCCCGCCCCAGTTGTCGATCAGACTTGCCAGGCCAGGGGGGTGGCTCTCCAGGGCCAGGCTTCTAAGGGGGTACACACGGCTGGTCTTGTTGGAATACAGTTATTTTGTACTTCTTGAGATCAATTCATTTGGTTTTCTTTTTCTATATTTTTTTTGGCCAGTCCTGGGGCTTGAACTCAGGGCCTGCGCGCTGTCCCTGAGCTTCATCTGCTCAAGTTTAGCGCTCTACTACTTGAGCCACAGCGCCACTTCTGGCTTTTTCTGCTTATGTGGTGCTGAGGAATCGAACCCAGGGCCTCATGCATGCAAGGCGAGCGCTCTACCACTGAGCCACCTTCCCAGCCCCTCTGCCCTCATCTTTATGTGTTTCTGCCTCCTACTTTGGGGCTTGGCCTGTTTCTGTTTTTGTAATCATTTGAGTTGCATCATTGTGATATTTGAGAGGTTGATTTCTTTAGTATGTCAGTTGTGGGTCTTGAACTCTGGGCCTGGGCGCTGTCCCTCAGCTCTTCAGCTCAAGGCTAGCCCTCTACCACTTGAGCCACAGCGCCACTTCTGGTTTTCTGAGTGGTTTATTAGAGATAAAGCCCGGGTTGGCTTTGAACTGTGATCCTCAGATCTCAGCTTCCTGAGTAGCTAGAATGACAGGCCTGAGCCACCAGCACCCAGCTGAGAGGTTGATTATTCTTAATAAACTCCTGATTTCCTAAACTTCTGCTTTCCTAAACCTTCCTCTTAGTAGTACTGCTTTTGCTATATTCCAGAGGGGGGGTGGGGGTGGGGTGGGGTGTGTGTGTGTGTGTGTGTGTGTGTGTGTGTGTGTGTGTGTGTGTGTGTGTGTGTGTGTGTGTGTGTGTGTGTGTGTGTGTGTGTGTGTGTGTGTGTGTGTGTGTGTGTGTGTGTGTGTGTGTGTGTGTGTCTGTCTGTGGTCAGTTGCGGAGCTTGAACTCAGGGCTTGGGTTCTGTCCCTGAACTCTTGCTCAAGGCTGGTGCTCTGCCACTCTGAGCTACAGTTCCAATTCTGTTTTTTTGGTAGAGATGTTTCACAAATTTTCTTGCCCTGGCTGGCTTTGAATCTCAGTCCTCAGCCTCCTAAGTAGCTAGGATGACAGACGTGAGCCTCCAGCATCTGGCAATTACTAAGGTCTCGATAAGTTTTCACTTTTACAGATCTAAGAACTCTGTGTGTGTGTGTGTGTTTGTGCGCGCGCGTGTGCGAGTGTGCGCGCGCGCGTGCCAGCGCCAGTGCCAGTATTGGGGGGCTTGTGCTCAGAGCCTAGGCAGTTCCTCTTAGCTGTTTTGCTCGATTGGTGCTCTACCACTTGAGCCACAGCTATACTTTTGGCTTTTGGGTAGTTAATTAGAACAAGAATCTCTCAGTTTCCTGCCCAGGAAACTTGGCCATGAGCTGCAGTCCCAGTTCTCAGCCTCTTGAGAAACTAGGGTTCTGGGCGTAGGAGAATTGAGGCCATTCCCCTCTAGTGTTAGTAGCGAACATAGGTAACGTTCTTCTCATTTGATTTGATTCTTTCTGAATCCTCACTGGGTTCGCTTACTCCTCCCCCCTCCCCCCTCCCATATTTTCCTGGCATGTTTATCTTCCTCTCGTGTGTACAGGATTCTCCTCCCGCTGTGAATGGTGGCATTGCTGGGTGCAGTAATCTCAGGGCTGGGAAGAGGTCGTTCGGTGCCCTCCTTGCTCTGGGAGTTCTGTTACGATGGTTTGTCCTTCTTGCGTGACTTGGTGCTTCTCTTGCGCAGTTTTCAATACTTTGTTCTGCAAATTGTTATAAATCATCTGTACAGGAAGGAGAGTGAGATGGCCAGACAAGATTTATCTCACCATCTTTAGTTACCTGCTAAAAGTACGAGCAACCAAGGAGGACTGTAGATGGGAGAGTCATCAGTTAAGATGGAATCTTGAGCTAGGCTCATACCTGTCACCCGAGCTACTCCCAAGGCTGAGTTCTGAGGACCCAGGTTCAAAGCCAGCCCGGGCAAGGAAGCCTGTGAGACTTACCTTGAAAGCCCGAAGTAGCGCTGTGACTCGTGGTTGAGCGTTAAGCTTGAGCATAAACGTTTGCTCAGGGACATCAGCCAGGCCCTGGCTTGAAGTTCCAGGACCAGCACATGTGCACACACAAAATACTGAGAGGTGTTGTTATTCACATATGATTAACTCAGGAAAGGAAGGAAAAGCAGACCCCCCCCCCCAAAAAAAAAAAAAAATTACATAAAAGCCATTCTTTTCTGTTGCGTTTGCGCAACCCTCCAGTAGGTGGCAGTCTAGCCTGTGGCTTGTCTGTGGCCCTGGCTGCTGCACAGCCCCGATCCCCAGATCCAGGGCCTCTCCCAGCCCCGGGCTGCTTCCCACACAGCTGGCTAGACTTGGATCTGACTGTAGATAGTCCTCGACCAAAGGTTCGGGCTCTGGCCTCAAACCCAAGGGCTTGAACTCGCGGCCTGGGCGCTGCCCCTGAGCTTTTGTGCACGAGGCATGCACTCTACCTGCTTGAGCCTCAGCTCCACTTCTAGTTTTCGGGTGTTAATTGGACATGAGTCTCATGGACTTTTCTCCTGGGCTGGCTGTAAATTGCAATCCTCAGATCTCAGCCTCCTGAGTGTCTAGGATCGCAGGTGTGAACATCTATGTATTTTTGTTCTGATATTCCTGTAATGTTAGCTTGGAAGTATCTTCATGGAATGAGTATGATCTTCCCAGCTGGATTCCAAGCAAAGGGGCCACAGCAATAAAAGACCTTCACAGTAGGCTAAGGACTAGTTTCTGTAGTCCATAAAAAAAGCTAACTAGCCAGTAGAAAATGAGCATAGAACGTGAGTTATAGTGAAATACTACAAGCAAGCAGTCATCTATACCGATCGTTATGATACATGTCCTACTGCTATGAATTGTCCTTCAAGTTACAATAAGCCAGGTGCCAGAGGCTCACGCCTGTCATCCTAGCTACACAGGAGGCTGAGATCTGAGGATCATGGTCCCAAGCCAGCCTGGGCAGAAAAGTCCCTGTGAGACTCTCATCTCCAGTGAACCACTCACAAACCAGCAGTGGCTCTGTGGCTCACAGGTAGAGCGCTCGCCTTGAGCACCAAGAGGCAAAGGACAGCACCCGGGCCCCAAGTGTAAGCCCACAGCCAGTCAAAGAGAGAAAAATTGAGACTCGTGTCTGTAGGTAGCCATGCTATGAAGAAAATGCATCCAAGGAGTGTTTCAGAAAGTTGGTTTGTTAGAAAGTAAGAAGGCGAGTAGATGCATCGCTCCTGTGTGCACACGCCCTTCGGCCAGTGAATCCCAGGTGTCTTTTGGAAACAGTGTGATGCAGATGCTGGACCAGACGCTGGACAGGATGCTGGACTGGACGCTGGACAGGACGCTGGACTGGACACCGCACAGGACGCTGGACTGGACACTGGACAGGACGCTGCACAGGGTGCAGGGCAGGGCGCTGCACGGGACGCTGCACAGGGTGCTGCACAGGGTGCTGGACAGGACGCTGCACAGGACACTGGACAGGACTCTGGACAGGGTGATGGAGAGGATGCTGGACAGTGCGCTGCACGGGACACTGGACGGGACACTGCACGGGATGCTGGACAGGACGCTGCACAGGACACTGGACAGGACTCTGGACAGGGTGATGGAGAGGATGCTGGACAGTGCGCTGCACGGGACACTGGACGGGACACTGCACGGGATGCTGGACAGGACGCTGCACAGGACACTGGACAGGACTCTGGACAGTGTGCTGGACAGGGCGCTGCATGGGGCGTTGGACAGGGCTCTGGACAGGGTGCTGGACAGGACACTGGACAAGGTGTCACACGGGACGTTGGACAGGGCACTGCATGGGACACTGGACAGGGTGCTGGACAGGAAGCTGCACAGGATGCTGGACGGGACGCTAGACTGGACACTGCTCAGGGTGCTGCACGGGACTCTGGACAGGGCGCTGCACGGGGTGCTGCACTGGGCTGTGGACTGGACTGTGGGTGCCGCCTTGCGCCTGCCTGGCCCGGGCCGTAGCGTGGGGATGCGCTTGCAGGACACCTCCTACCTGTTCATCACGGGGCCGGACGTGGTCAAGTCCGTCACCAACGAGGACGTGACGCAGGAGGAGCTGGGCGGGGCCAAGACGCACACCACCATGTCAGGTGCGGGGCGCGGGGGCCGCGGGCGGGGTGGTGGGCGCGGGCGGCCCCGTGGTGGCGTCGGGCGCGGGTTCGAGTCCCCCCGCCCGCAGGGGTGGCGCACAGAGCGTTCGAGAACGACATCGACGCCCTGCTCCACCTGCGGGACTTCTTCAACTACCTGCCGCTCAGCAACCGCGACGCGGCGCCCGTGCGCCAGTGCCACGACTCCAGGTGCGGGGCGCGGGGGGGGGGGGGGGGGGGGGGCGCCCCCAGTGCCACCACTCGCGGGGCGGGGGGGGTGGGCGCCCCCAGTGCCACGACTCCAGGGGCGGGGTGGGGGGGCCCCCAGTGCCACCACTCCGGGGGCGGGGTGGGGGGGCCCCCAGTGCCACCACTCCAGGGGCGGGGTGGGGGGGCCCCCAGTGCCACCACTCCAGGGGCGGGGTGGGGGCGCCCCCAGTGCCACCACTCCGGGGGGGGGGGGCGGGGCGGGGGGCCGCACGCAGCCGCGCCACCCCGCGGTCCCCCGCCTCCAGTGAGCGGCTGGTGCCCGAGCTCGACACCATCGTCCCGCTGGAGTCCACCAAGGCCTACGACATGCTGGACATCATCCACGCCGTGAGCGCGGGCGGGGCCGCGGGGCGGGGCGGGGGGGCTCCTGCTCCTGCCCCTCCCCCCTCCTCCCCCACCCCCAGCCCCGCGCCCCAGCCCCGCGTCTGCGCCCGCAGATCATCGATGAGCGCGAGTTCTTCGAGGTGATGCCGAGCTACGCCAAGAACATCATCGTGGGCTTCGCGCGCATGAACGGGCGCACGGTGGGCGTGGTGGGCAACCAGCCCAAGGTGGCCTCGGGTACGGGGCGGGGCCGCGGGCACCGGGGGCGGGGCCTCGGGCACCGGGGGCGGGCACAGGGGCGGGGCCGCGGGCACCGGGGGCGGGGCCTCGGGCACGGGGCGGGGCCTCGGGCACGGCGGGGGCGGGCACAGGGGCGGGGCCGCGGGCACGGCGGGGGCGGGCACAGGGGCGGGGCCGCGGGCACGGCGGGGGCGGGGCCGCGGGCACGGCGGGGGCGGGCACAGGGGCGGGGCCGCGGGCACGGGGGGCGGGGCCGCGGGGCGGGGGCGCAGGCCCTCACTCCGGTGGCGTGTCCGCGTCCGCGTCGGCCGCGCAGGCTGCCTGGACATCAACTCTTCGGTGAAGGGCGCCCGCTTCGTCCGCTTCTGCGACGCCTTCAACATCCCGCTCGTCACCTTCGTGGACGTCCCCGGCTTCCTGCCCGGCAAGTGCCGCGGGCCCCCCTCCCCGTGCCCCGGACCCCCCCCCCCCGTGCCCCGGACCCCCCCCCCGGCTCCTGACCCCCCCCGGGCCCCCCCTCCGTGCCGGGCCGCCGGCTGACCGGGGCCGCCCGCAGGCACGGCGCAGGAGTACGGCGGCATCATCCGCCACGGCGCCAAGCTGCTGTACGCCTTCGCCGAGGCCACCGTGCCCAAGGTCACCGTCATCACGCGGAAGGTGAGGCCTGCACCCCGGTGTCCCCCCTCACCGGTGCCCCCCCGCACCCCGGTGCCCCCCCCCTCACCGGTGCCCCCCTCCCCCCAGGCCTATGGCGGCGCCTACGACGTCATGAGCTCCAAGCACCTGCTGGGCGACACCAACTACGCCTGGCCCACGGCCGAGATCGCCGTCATGGGCGCCAAGGTGCGCGCGGCCAGCACCGGCCCGCACGGGTCATCCCCGCCCCGGGCTCCCGCGCTCCCCCCCCAGCCCCGGCCTCCCCCCCCAGCCCCGGCCTCCCCCCCCAGCCCCGGCCTCCCCCCCCAGCCCCGGCCTCCCCCCCCCCCCGTGCTCCCCTCGGGGCTCACCGGCGCGGGGCTCGCAGGGCGCGGTGGAGATCATCTTCAAAGGGCGGCAGGACGTGGAGGCCGCGCAGGCCGAGTACATCGAGAAGTTCGCCAACCCCTTCCCCGCCGCCGTGCGAGGTGAGCCGGCCGCGCCTGCCCGGCCCCCGGCGCCCCCCCCCCCCCCCCCGCCTCCCCGTCCTCCCCCATCCTCTTCCATCCTCCCCCATCCTCCTCACCCTCCTCACCCTCCCCCATCCTCCTCCCCCATCCTCACCCTCCCCCATCCTCCATCCTCCTCACCCTCCCCCATCCTCTTCACCCTCCCCCATCCTCTTCACCCTCCCCCATCCTCCCCCATCCTCGCCCTCCCCCATCCTCCTCGCCCTCCCCCATCCTCCATCCTCCTCACCCTCCCCCATCCTCTTCCATCCTCCTCACCCTCCCCCATCCTCCTCGCCCTCCCCCATCCTCCTCGCCCTCCCCCATCCTCCTCGCCCTCCCCCATCCTCCTCGCCCTCCCCCATCCTCCTCGCCCTCCCCCATCCTCCTCGCCTTCCCCCATCCTCCTCCCCCATCCTCCTCACCCTCCCCCATCCTCCTCACCCTCCCCCATCCTCTTCACCCTCCCCCATCCTCCCCCATCCTCCTCGCCCTCCCCCATCCTCCTCCCCCATCCTCACCCTCCCCCATCCTCCATCCTCCTCACCCTCCCCCATCCTCTTCACCCTCCCCCATCCTCTTCACCCTCCCCCATCCTCCCCCATCCTCGCCCTCCCCCATCCTCCTCGCCCTCCCCCATCCTCCATCCTCCTCACCCTCCCCCATCCTCTTCCATCCTCCTCACCCTCCCCCATCCTCCTCACCCTCCCCCATCCTCCTCGCCCTCCCCCATCCTCCTCGCCCTCCCCCATCCTCCTCGCCCTCCCCCATCCTCCTCGCCTTCCCCCATCCTCCTCCCCCATCCTCCTCACCCTCCCCCATCCTCCTCACCCTCCCCCATCCTCCTCGCCCTCCCCCATCCTCCTCCCCCATCCTCCTCGCCTTCCCCCATCCTCCTCACCCTCCCCCATCCTCCCCCATCCTCGCCCTCCCCCATCCCCCCCTCCTGCTCCCCGCGGCTGCCCCGCAGGCTGAGCGCTGGCTCACCTGGCCGCCGCCTCCTTTTCCCAGGGTTCGTGGACGACATCATCCAGCCGTCCTCCACGCGAGCCCGGATCTGCCACGACCTGGACATCCTGGTGAGCAAGAAGGTGCACCGGCCGTGGAGGAAGCACGCCAACATCCCCCTCTAGCCACGCCCACCCAGCCCCAGCCCTGTCTTCATTCCCACAGCACTCCCTGCTCCAGTAAATGACCTCTGAAGCGACTGTCAGTGGAGTGTGGCTTTTTTCATTTGTTTTGGTTGGTTGTGGGGCTTGAACTCTGGGCCTGGGCGCTGTCCCTCAGCTCTTGAGCTCAAGGCCAGCGCTCTACCACTTGAGCCACAGCGCCACTTCCAGCCTTTTCTGCTTATGTGGTGCTGAGAAATCGAACTCAGGCAGGGCCCCATGCATGCGAGGCAGGCGCTCCACCACTGAGCACCTGCCCAGCCAGATGGCATTTTTAGGATAGAGGAAAGAAGCCCCACAAGTCATGTGTGCTCAGGTCGATGCCTTGGGGCTGGGCGTGGTGAGGGGGAGGGGCAGGCCCTAGGGGGCTCCTCTCCCCTCCCCACACACGCCCGGGTGCGCCATGGCCACAGTCTAAAGCCTCTCCCCCACGGCCTCTCCTCCCCCACGGCCTCTCCTCCCCCACGGCCTCTCCTCCCCCACGGCCTCTCCTCCCCCACGGCCTCTCCTCTCCACGGCCTCTCCTCTCCCCCACGGCCTCTCCTCCCCCACGGCCTCTCCTCCCCCACGGCCTCTCCTCTCCACGGCCTCTCCTCTCCCCCACGGCCTCTCCTCTCCCACGGCCTCTCTGCTCCTCTCTACGAGGTGAGAGACGGCGAGTGCAGGGCCGCGGTGCTCTGGGAGAGCAGGTAAGCCAAGAGGGTCTCATGGTCTGCTCTCCGCTTCGGTCCCGTCTTGCAGCGCTGGGAGGCGGCTGGGGAAGCTGCCGACCCCCACGGGCTGTCCAGACCCCACAATCGGGTTCACTTCTGTCGTGGATTAGTTTGTGCTGGTCCTGGGCTGTGAGCTCGGGGAGGGGGCCCGGGCGCGGGGCCCGAGTTCTTTTGCTCCAGGCGAGCGCTAGGGCTCTACGGCTTGAGCCTCACTCCTCTTCTGGCTTTCTAGTGGTTCGTTGGAGAGGAGTCTTCGGGGACTTTCCTGCCAGGGCTGGCTTTGAACTGTGATCCGCGCATCTCAGCCTCAGTGTTGCAGGGGTAGCCACCGCCACCTGGCTGCTTTTTTTTTCTCCTATATTCTCTCCTGTTCGTGACGCAGAAGGATTTCTCTGCTAGTTCCCCACACGCTCACTGTGTTCTGATCCTTCTCACCCTCCAGCTCTCTTTCTTTTCCCCCCTCTGTTCCCCCAAAAAGCATCCTTAATGCGTGTCCTTGTTCCATCTTCTTATTTCTGAGCATCGGATGGTTGCTGAGGGTTTACAGGTGAATGTGTCCGCCACCGCGTCTCGATGGGGACCGCTCTGTCCCTCCCCATACGCCACCCCCCCAGGCATAGTGTCTCCTTTGCCTGTCATGTGTGTGGACAGTTCACCTCTGTCCTCCCGTGGCTCACCTTGTGCTTCCAAGAACTGTGCTCCCGACCTCGCGTCTCCACTTGATGCTTCCTCTTGTCATCTGAGTGGGCCGTGCACGCTGTGACGTCACTGACGTCACGCCGGGCTTCTGCATTCCCTTCGAGGGACTGTCTGGTGTGGCTGGTCTGTGACAGGAGACGGCCTTGGCTGCAGCCCGGCTTCTGACCACACAAGCCACACTTCCAGCCCCTTCAGACTGCCCATGCTGGTATTGAACTGTGATCCCCTGATCTTCACCCCAAGTAGCTAGAATTACGGTCTTGAGCTACTGTATACTTGGTGATATTGCTGCTTGCTTTGCTAGTCGGGTTGTAGAAATTGGAATTTTCCTCACGTTCAAATTCAGGCGAGCATTCCATATCCACGTGTTTAGACTCCTGGATTCTTCCTAGGTTGCTGGCGTTCCTCATGTCCTCATGAGTTTCTCGCAGCTCCCGCCGTGAGCCTCGTCCTGGCCATTGAGCATTTCCTCAGTTTGCTTTGTTTATCTTGTGTTTTCTGGGCCCAGCCGTGGACCCAGCGATGGCCAAGTTTCTAAAACCAGTAGCTATGTCATCAAGGTGCTGCGGGACACTCAGAGGACGCAGGCGTCGCTACACATCTGAAACAGCCAGGAGCAGTTTAAGGAGAAATTAAATGTGGCCTGGTGTCTCAAGAGATGTAACCAAGTCAGCTGGCGTCAGCATCACGAAGCAGAACGTCATGGAGGGGTGTGCGGGGGTGCACCACCTCCTCCCAATGACACCATTGAGGGATCGACGGATCAGTTAGGTCGGAACCCTCGGATCTGTCCCAGAATGCATCCGCTGGCCACCGAGCCCCAGGGCTAGGGTCACGGGATGCTCCACATGGAACCTGCGGCATGCGGTCGAGTTGCAGCGTGGCCTTAAGTTCCCATCTGGTCCAGGGAGGCCCCACGCCATGCTTGTGATGCTAACAGCAGCACTGCCTCTGCCGGCCACGTCCAGCTGGGAACTTCTGAAGCCCGGCACAATTTCATATTCCCCCCTAGTTCTTTGTCTTTAAGCTGAAGAGAATCTTGGGGTCCTTGCCCCTCAGTTTTGCTGTCAGGAGGTGAGCGTGGCTCTCCACTGCATGCTGACACAAGGCACTGAGGCTCTGCTGGGAGCTCACAGTGCTGGGTCAGAGCCTGAGAGTCGGGGGGGCCTGGCGTCAGCCTGGGGTGCTCTTTGCAGGCTGTAGCACCCACAAGCCATGTGGCCTAGCAGGAGAGTGAGTCACAGGCAGGTGGGTGTCGGGGGGCTGCTCGTGAAGGGGCTTTGGGGTCCTCACCACATCTGTCTGCAGTTCCCAGGATGCGACCCGGACTTCAGAGACCTGCACCCTCCCGAGCTGATCAACCCACAGAGAACTTACCCGAACGCTGCCTGAGGCCACTTGCCATCAGTGCGTCTCAGCCTCTGGATGGTGGAGGATGATCTCTGGTGATGCCATGTCTTCCTGGTCCCCAAGGATTTCTGGAGAGCTGTGGCTTTATTCATGTCAACTGCTGACATCAGCCAGGGGTCCCCCAGGCCCATGTGGTAGGCAGCACCCCCAGCCGGAAGCCAGCTGCCAGGTAGGTCTCGGCACATTCCTGCTGTCTGCTTGGCCACCAAGAGTGGATGGAAACAGAAGCAAGGGTGGCTGACTGGAAAGCCTGAGCAAGCCCCGAGCCTTTGCCATGAAGCCAGGGACTGAGCTCAGCACTCCCGAGGAGCGGGGAGATGGTGTGGCCACAGCTCCGATCTGGATGCCTGTGGGCCCAAATGCAAGCAGACACGCTCCTCTCCTCCCGTCACCAACTCAGCCCAGACCCCAGGGCCAGGCCATGAAGCTTGTAGGCCGTGGGGTCTGGCACCCCAGCAAGAGAACTTTCTTTATTTTTTTGCCAGTTCTGGGGCTTGAACTCAGGGCCAGGGCGCTGTCCCTGAGCGGCTTTTGCTCAAGGCTAGCGCTCTACCACTTAAGCCACAGCGTCATTTCTGGCCTTTTCTGCTTATGTGGTACCGAGGAATCAAACCCAGGGCCTCATGCATGCTAGGCGAGCACTCTACCACTGAGCCACCTTCCCAGCCCAGAAACTCTTACCTTGTGTAGCTGGTCTTCAGAGCACTCGGGAGCAGCTGGGCGTGGGCTCCACATGGATATACCTGGAGGGTTTCCCCCCAAACCACTGAAAAGACGCCCCCCCAAACCATGCTCAGCGCCCCGCTCCGAGAAATTCTAGGACTGATGAAAATTGGTGAGCTGATCTGATTTGTTCTCTTCTCAAAACACTAATGCTGTCATTTAAACAAATAACCTGATAACCCGAGCAAACTCTGAAGAGTTGCAGGCCTTTGCTGTTTGATGCTTGCACTCAGGCCTGGGCACTGTCCCCGAGCTGTGTTTGCTCAAGGGATGCAGCTCCACCTTCAGCTTTTTTTGGTACACATAATCCGGCCGGGCTGGCTTCGAACCACTACCCTCTGATCTCGGCCTCTTGAGGATGACAGGTGGGAGCCACTGGCGGCTGGCTCCTGAGATGCTTTTGTACCCTTGAGCAAGAATGGGGAAAACTGCCACAGCCTGATTTTCAATAGTTTATTAAAGGAAAGGTGAAGCATCAGTTTCAAATTGTACAAAAGGAAAAAAACCTCATATTGCAAATGTACAATTTACAGAATTACTAGCAAAACCAATCAAGGAGACACTGATAATACAAAAGTTTGATTGACTTCAAACTGAACTGGAAACCCATTGGAGTTGCTGTTGCCCGGTGGTGCGGCTCCAGGTGAGCGAGACAGGCGGCGGCCAGGCCATGGGCCGGGCTGTGTGCGTGCGGGCTCCGCACGGCTCCTTGGTAGGTGAGCGCCGGCCGGCAAGCGTCCGGCCCTGCTGCCTTCCTGCAGCCCAGAACTGCTGAATTCTCACAGAAACATTTTTGGTGGCCAAGATTTTTTTTTTTTGATTTTTTTTTTTTTTTTTTATAACTATACAAATGTCGAGAAAAATCTGTTTCATGTCTGGCTACTAAAAAGGATGAGTAAAATCCATTTTGCTCTCCCCCACGCAAAAAAAGGTATCATTGGATGCACAGAATTTTTTTAAAAATGCTTTTGAATATTTGGTAGAAAGGGGGGAAAAAGAAAAAAAAAAAGCCTCAGGATTCTGTTGCACCGGCTTTAAAACCAGCCCAGAAACTGCTGTGCACGGATTGGTTTGGATTCGAGGCTTTCGGGAAAAGCCAGAAAGGAAGCAAGTGGGCTTTTAAAAACATAGCAGCAAGTCGTCAAAGTCCAAGCAGACTATGAACTCTAAGCCACGGCAGCCCGTCCTCAAGATTGGTCGCGTCTCTTCCCCCAGAGAACTTGGGTCACACGCACACGTAACACGGAGGCAGCTGTGGGTCAAGGCAGCCGAAGCACGCCACCCTCTAAGCACAGACTTCTAGCATCAGGAAACGGAACTCACACACGTACGCGGAAGGGTGTTGAGTGCACGGAAGTAGACAGTTGGGTAACACTTAAAATGGCAAAGGATTCTTCATGATTATCTTGGTGAGAAAACAGACGTCTGTAAGTTGAATTTGGCAGGGCCTCAAGTGGTGAATCATTTTTGTTTTTTACTGAGAATCCTTTATTTGCTGGTAGAAGTTGCTAAAAATGCCCAGGACAAATGCCAATAGAAAATGCACTGTTCTGGAAACTTCTTCCTAGTGTATATAAAGTGGACGGTGTTCAGCATCTGCTGGAAAAAATGGCTGCAACGGGCATTTCTTCCTTTGTGCCCATTTATAAATAAAAATAAACCTTTTTCTTCAAGAGTATATAAAATCGGGGAAGTGCTATCCGTAGCGGCAGAGGGCGTGGTTTTGGCAGCGACGCACGACGTCCACCTTTACACCTTGGCGTGCTCACGTTGTGTGTGTCTACACGGGCAACCAACCCAGTGAGCTCCAAAAACACTCTTCAGCCATAGCGGAGCTGCGTACTCATAGGTTTAATAAAAATGGTTAGCTCTTAAAACATAAAAAGGCAAAATGTTAAACGGTTTTTAAATTGTACAACAGGAAAATAAAGTTAAAAATATTTTTTTTTACTCAAGGTGGAGTTTCCATAAAACAGGTGTATAACAGTGTTTATCTTGACAGCTGTTTTTTAAAAATTTAAAATTTCTTCCTTCCTCCAGAAAAACACGCATCTGCAACGGAGCAGTCTGGCGGGGGGGTGGGCGGGGAGGGGGGCCGGGGCGGCCCCGCCGGCCTTTCTGAGGTGAGGTCGCCGCGTCTCCTTGGGCCGCGTCCGCATCCTCTCCCCTGCCGCCACTGCAAAAACCGACTGACCTTCAATCACGGCGTTAAGCAACCAACCAGGTCCCAGCAGAAGTGTTCTCTCCCCACACAAGCTATCACAGTATATAGGCCTCTAGCTCTAGAGAATAGAGTTCCGGGTTTGTAAGTTTCTCTTCGGAGTTCAGAACATAGGCATTCCAAATCCCTAGGGGGGCGAGGAGAAACGGGAGGTCAGCGTGGGCACAGCGCACGGCCCGCGCTGCGGGGGGGGGGGGGGGGGGGGGGGGCCGCACTCACTGAGTCGTCCTCTATGATAGCTGCCGAGTCGAAGAAGTCTGGCCTCAGCTCAGCCCGCTCGCGCCGGTTTCTCGACGGGGGCTGAAAAGAAATGGTTGAGACCACGCTGCGGCCAGGAGTCGCGCAGCGGGCAGGCCGGCTTTCCGGGCTGGGGTCTTGGTCTGTGGCCTTGAACTCCCAGCCCTCCTGCCTCCGTGTCCCCGGCGGCACAGCAGACTCCCCAGTCCTGGGTTTTTGTCTTTTTGTTTTGCTTTTTTGGCAGTGCGCCAAAAGATGGGCGGTGAGAAACGTTTTACAAGGAAGGCAAAAAAGACGCTCGCTCACACAGTAATCCAAGCTACTCGGGCAAGAGCTCAAGGTTCGAGGCCAGCCCAGGAGGGGAAGCCTGCGAGACTCGGATCTCCAACTACCCATTAAGCCCAAAGCGGGGCTGTTTTCAAGTGATAGCGTGCCAGCCTTAAGCAAACGAGTTCAAGCCCCAGGGCAGCGGCGTGCACACACACGTGCGCGCACACACCATTCTGTTGTTGGCAAAACAGAAAAAGCTTGCGAACATGGAAGGTCATCCAAACGGAGGAGTGATGACGCCCCCCGCCCCCCCAACGCTGCCATCCCTTACCAGATCGATAACCATGGTGTCCTCAAACTCCTCGTTCATGTCTTCCAGCTGGCTCCGCGACGACATCATGACGTCCTCGAAGATGGGCTCTGCGTCCTCCTCCATCAGCCCGCGGCTGGGAAGCAGAGCTGCAGTCAACGTGCCGATCCAGCCACGCCAAGTCCTGGCTCTCCCTTGAGGAGCTCACTTTGTACTGTGCCCTACAGACTCCACGCTGACCATGAGCGCCCGCACGTGAACCACCGTTTCTTTGGTTTACTCAAGATTTCACGGCACACCAGTTCAAAACCAGCCTGAGACTCTCGCCTCCACTAGACTACCCAAAGGAACTCAAAAGTGGAGTGCGCTGTGGTACAGCACTAACCCGGAGCAAAAGGCAGCTGCGGACAGCACCCAGGCCATCCGTTCGAGCCCTAGCACTGGCAAAGGAGAGCCAGGCACGGATGGCTCACGCCTATAATCCTGCTACTCAGGAGGCTCAGATCTGAGGATCACGGTTCAAAGCCAGCCCGGGCAAGAAAGGCTGTGAGACTCGTATCTCCAATGAACCACCAGAAAACCAGAAGTGGTGCTATGGCTCAAGTGACAGTGCCAAGGCCGTGAGTTCAAACCCCAGAACTGACACACTAAAGATTTAGAGGGAAGATCACTAAATGCAATAATTAAATAATAAGGCACAGACCTAGCTATGTATCAAACCCCCCAAATCTGGCTTGCTGCTATTAATGACTGCCTCTCATAGAGGGGGAAACTGAGGCACAGGCAGACTACAGCTAGGGTGGCAAGGCTGGCCTAGGCTGCACTGGAATTCAGATGCCACAGGCCGCAGAGCCCAGGCCTCCCACCGCCATCCTGGGTGGCAGGACACAACGGTTACACCAAACTGCCCCGCCCCGCCCCGCCCCGCCCCAGCAGCCCCGCCCCGCCCCGCCCCGCCCGAGCAGCCCCAGCAGCCCCGCCCCGCCCCGCCCCGCCCGAGCAGCCCCGCCCCGCCCCGCCCCGCCCCGCCCCGCATGAGCAGCCCGGGACACTCACACGGCGTGCCGCACTCCGGCCCTCACTTTCATGTAGTTCATTCCCGTTCTGTCCTTCCGATTCAAGTCTTCTAGCTTCGGCTGGCCTAGCCAGGAGATCTGCATCTGCGGGCTGAGAGGCGCCGTGACTGCCCGCCGCCCGCCCAGCGGCCCTCGCGCGCTCAGGACGGGGCCACACCCGCCCCGCACGCGCTCTTCACTGGCCACGAGCACGTGCTCCAGTGGTGGGACCGAGCGGCCGTCGTCCACAGGACCGCCACCGCGATGGCGCGGGAAGGGCGGCTGAGGGCAGAGGGCGCGGCGAGCGCCAATGCTGCGCGGTAAAGGAAGTCGGAGCCTCTGCAGCCAGCGACCTGCAGGAACCAGGCTGCACAGCCCGCGCCGGCCCTGCCCCTGCCTCCCAGCCTCTCCCTCGCCCGCGTGACACGGGAGCGGCCGCTGGCGGCGTGGCCGTGTGGCACGGTGGCCGCGCGCGGCCCGGGTGCCAGTGCCGCGGGGGTCATGCGTGGCCCGCGTGTCGTGTCCGATGGCGGCTCTGCTCTCTCCGCGTGCGTGCGTGCGTGCGTGCGTGCGTGCGTACTCACTTGTGCAGGAAGTCTGGCTCTGCGCCGTGCTCCGACTCGGGCTCCTGGATCTGCTCACCGGCCGGCCGACTGCTCTCCCGCAGCACCGTGGACGTGAGCTGCGGCGTGGGCAGGGGTCCGGGGGTCTGAATCATGGTGTCCGTCCTGTTGAGCCACGTGTTGTCCAGGCTTTCATCTGGAAGGTTCCAGCGGCATGGTCAGCGTGTCACCACAGCTCGGCTCCAGTTCCCATCCCCGACCCCCCCTCCGCCCACCGGTGCTTTATGATGTCCACAGGTCACCCCAAGTCCCGAGGTCATCCGGGCCACACACGCTTCCTCGTCCTGAATTATGGCTGCTCTATCAGTAAGTGCCATTATGGGTATTGACATTTTTTCGAAGCTAGCTGCTTTATAAAGTCTGAGCAACAGCGGTGAGCTAGACCACTTCATCAGACGTCGGCTAAAGGACTGCCGCTCACTGAAGATCGGGTGACTGTTTCTAAGACTGAGTGGGAAACAACAGACAAGCGTGGAGAACCGTGGTGGAGGATACTTTCAAAGAAAAACGACTGCATTCACTGTTCAGAAAGTCCAAAGCCCAGCGCCAGTGGCTCACGCCTGGGAGCTACTTGGGAGGCTGAGACCTGAGGATTATGGTTCAAAGCCAGCCTGGGCAGGAAACTCTTATCTCCAATAAACCACTCAGAAAACCGGAAGTGGCTCTGTGGCTGATGTGGTAGAGCGCTCACCTAGAGCTAAAGAGCTGAGGGACAGTGTCCAGAGTTCAAGCCCCACGACCAACAAAAAAAAGAAAAGAAAAAAAACAAACAAGTCCAGTGTCATGAATGATCAAGCGGAGGTGTTCCCTGTTTGGGTGAAAAGGATGACAGCCCAGAGCTGAAGATGAGCAGGGCCTGTGGATTCCAGGCGGTGAGCCATCACTACAACTACAGGACCAAACAGGGCTGCAGCTCTGAGCGCCGTGTGCATGGAAGAACTGGAGAAGGCCACTGCGCATGCTCAGCACCGAGGGGAGGCGGCGCCGAGCGCCTTTCTTTACACCAGTGATTATAACTAGCGTGCCGATCTAAAGACACACACCCAGCTCACAAGGAGAAAGCCTCGTTTGAATTCTAATTCTGATCTTAGCTCTGGGCTTTCCATCACTAGGCAATAATGACACATTTAAATTGTGATCCATCTTGCCACTGTCTTGAGAAGCGCGTGCACTGACGTACAGCTGAAGAGCAGTGACACCGACTCAATCCACTACTTACCCCGTCCCATTTTCCTGACAGTTCCGTGCTCTCTTGCTCGTGAGCTGGGGAGGTTATGAAGCTAGAACTGGCGTGGTGGAGGGTAAGCTGGCAGCCGGGGGCGGGGCGGCAGGTGGCCTCCTGTTCACTAACATGGGCTCAGAGCAGCAGCAAGGGCTAATGCACTTGGGGTCAGTTCCCCGGACGTATTAGCTGGCCTCTATCTCCATGCTCTTCACCCTCTCCCCACCCTGTCTGTTCCAGCTTTCGCCCTGGACATCTCGGGGCGCCTCACACACAGGACATGCATTTCTCTCTCACTGCAAGGCCGGGGCATCCGGCCTGAGGGAGGGGCGCTCACCTTCCACCCGCTTCTTGTGCAGCGGGGGCCGGCCCTTCTTGCTCCTCACCGAGGACGTCTTGCTGCTGCTGCTTCCGCTGTTGACAGACATCCTGTCGTCCTCGCCTCCAGTGACGAGCGAGTTTCTGTAGGAGATGAGCGGCAGCCACACGTCTTCCCGCCGCTCCATCATCTGCTCCGTCAGGAACTTCTCCAGGTACGAGTGTCTGCGAAGAGGGAGAGCGCTGCGTCACCCAAGCACTTCCAGCTCCGCTCGCTTGGTTTCGTGTCACGTATTCCTGGGATAGTCTCAGACCCACTCCTACTTCTTCCTTTGCCTTTAAACACCAGTTTCAAAAAACCTCCAAGTGTGGTCAAAAAGATTCTGGAATTGTTCTTTCAGTGTCACCCCAGGCCTTGGGAGCGCGCAGCGGCGCGGCGGCCTTCTGCTCTTTGGCTCAAGCACCCCCCGCTGGTAAAGATGAAGACCCAGTGGTCTTGTCTTTATAAATTCAACAACCTAAGCGCATCGGGCCGACGGAGAAAAATGTAGATGCTAAGTACTGGGACTGACTTGTCCTCCACGTCCCCTGTCCCCACTCCGGCTAGAAGCGCCACGGGGGGCTCCTGCCAGCTCCCAGGCTTGGGGCCGCTGAGAGGTAGCTGCTGCACTGGTCAGTCACAGCTCCGTCACTCTCCAGAGCTGGGGCCGGGAAGGAGGTGCGGGACTGCCCCGCGAGCGGACCCCTTCCTGTCTCTGCCTCCTGCCACGGTGCGTGCTCTTCCCACCACAGCCTGCAGCAAGCGTGCCAGCCCTCAACTGAAACCTCCCAGCAGAATCAAGCCCTCGCCTCTAACCTCGCCTGACACAGAAAGAGCTGCAAACCACTGCAAACAACTACACCAACGCAACAGACGTGCGCAGAACACAACTGGCAAGGACAGAATGCACACTGCTCACAGTGCGGATGGACACAGAAAGAGAACCCCCGAGGACTCACGCGGCACACGCCAGGGAAAACAGCTCCAGCCACTAGCTCCAAGGAAAAGTCCATCAGCTGTGGGAGATCTGTTTAACCTAAGTATTACACTGTGTGTGTGTGTGTGTGTGCATGTGCGCATGTGTGTATCAGAATATATGTACACACATATATACCACAATATCATCATGCTATTTTATAAATTCTTATGTTTTTCCTTTTATGTAGCAGTTAAAATTATGTGTTTTTTGGTCGGTCGTGGGGCTTGAACTCTGGGCCTGGGCGCTGTCCCTCAGCTCTTCAGCTCAAAGCAAGCTCTCTACCACCCTAGCACAGTACCAATTCTGGTTTTCTGGTAGTTAATTGGAGGTAAGAGTCTCACGGCTTTTCCCGCCGGGGGCTGGCTTTGAACCTCGATCCTCAGATCTCAGCCTCCTGAGTAGCTAGGATGACAGGCATGAGCCACCAGTGCCCGGCTGCAGTTAAAATTTTATAATGCTTTCAAACCACGTCACTCCCACCAATCCTCACGTCACTTACTGCCTGAAAGTCTCGCCGTCGGCATGCACATATCTGTGTCCCGAAAACTAATTGTGTGACGTTTCACTTTTCTTTAAGTCAGTCTTTCCTCACCTCCTCCCTCCCTGTGTCAGTGGGGGAGAGCCTGCTGTCGCTACCAGCCCGCACTGTCCCCGCCCCTCAGCTTTCTGTGTTTGCATCTCAAGCGCGTGCCACCAGGTCCACTTCCACGTTGGTGTGAAACTTACACAGTCTTTTTGTCCTGTCGAAGAAGTTTAGAAGAGAATTCGCTCAGTACTTCCAGGAAAGCCAGATTGGGAGGCGGATGCTCTTGTCCTTTCTGATTTTGGTATTTAAAGGCAAACTCGATGCCATCCCTGAATTAAAAGACGACAGTATTTTATTTTTTCCAGGTAGACACAGGCTAACGTTACAGCAATGTTTGGCAAAGTGCTGTTGTCGGTGAAGTTAGTGAAATGTGATGATTCTATCTGTGGTACAGGTGTGCGGCCATGGCGAGTAGGCCGCGGGCTCGCGTCCGCGCTGTTGTGAGGGTAGGCCAGGGCTCCCGGGGCTCAGCAGCCGCGCAGTTCCTGTGCCTTGGTTCTCAGTTATGAAATGACACCAACCAAATTACGGTTCTATACTCTGGTTTTTGGTGATGGAGAGTGAACCCAGTGTGTTGCACTTGCTAAGCAAATGCTTTACCACGGAGCTACATCCCAGCCCTACATACTCTTTTTTGTTTGTCGGTTGTAGGGCTTGAACCCAGGGCCTGGGCGCTGTCCCTGAACCTCTCTGTGCTGAAGGAGAGTGCTCTACCACAGCACCACTTCCAGTTTTCTGGTGGTTCACTGCAGATAAGAGTCTCACGGACTTTCTTGTCCAGGCTGGCTTTGAACTGCCATCCTTAGACCTCAGCCTCCTGAGTAGCTACAATGACAGGTGTGAGCCACCGCCCCCCACCCTATATACTCTTTTAATCCCATGTTTTCCTCATGATTTTTCAAACAGATAAGACATACTTTATAAAAAGGGGGAAATGGATGGTAAAGGACTTTTTTTTTTTTAAATAAATGCCACCATGTTGAGACTGTCTAAACTACATTATCTCACAGAACATCCTGTCCAGGGTTGCTTCAGCCAGGGCGGGGCACGCGGCCCCGGGGGACAGCGGTCGGCGCCTGTCACTCACTTGTGGAGGGTGGCCACGGCCTCTCGCGTTTTGATCTGGTCCAGCCCAAATGTAAGCGCGAAGCGTCGAGCCAGCTCCTTAATGCCACTGACATGCGCAGATGTCCGGTCTAGGTTAGGGCCTTGCTCCTGAACCAGCTCGTTAAACAGCTGAGAAACCAAAACAGGAAAAATTAAACTACACTGAGCAGATAACACTTGGCTTCCATTTACAACAGGTAACCCAAGTGGAAGACTGAAGCTGCGTCCCCACAGCAACGCGGAATACCGTGGACACGGACTTTTAGAATGAGCTATTTTGTTCTGGAACTCTTTCCACTTCCTGTTCTGTTACAAGTGTTTTAAACGGATGTGCTGGTGTGCACTTGCAGGCCTAGATACATGGGAGGCTGAAGCAGGATCCGTGAGCCCAGGAGCCCAGGCGCTCCAGCTGGCCTGGGCGGTGGTGGAGAGCCGGTGGGGGGTGGGGGTGAGGAGCGCGTCTGAGGGTCAGTGTATGGAGTCATTCCTCTCGTGAGGAGTGCGCGGCTTTCTCTGTGGACGCTGTTTCAGAGACTGCTGCGGCGGAGCACCGGCTGAGAGGACGTTCGGGCACAGCGTGGCAGGTGCATCCGTGCAGAAGCAGAGGCAGCGGCATGACCGGAGCCGGTGCTCGCAGCCTTCGAGGAAGAACGCACGGCCTGCTCCCAGCCCCGCCTGCCACTTCAGTTACAGCAGCACCAGCGCGCATCTCCTCCTCTTCATTCCTCTCTCATCACTGATGCAGTCACGTCCCTTCCGTGTTCACCGGCTAGCTTCGCTCTCTGAAAACTGCCTCTGTCATACCTCTCTGTTCACTTGACTTTTTTTTAATCCATGTGAAGCAAGCTATGAATATCTGCAAACATTTTCTCCCAGTTTCTCAGCTGTGTTTACTTTTCTTGGGGTAGTACTGGGGGGAGGGGTAAGCGCCCCCCATCTGAGCCTGCTCTATCAGCTTTGGATTCTTTTTGTTGTTGTTGTTGTTGTTGTCCGTGGGGCTTGAACTCTGGGCCTGGGCGCTGTCCCTCAGCTCTTCAGCTCAAGGTGAGCGCTCTACCACTCGAGCCACAGCGCCACTTCTGGTTTTCGGGTCGTTTATTGGAGATAAGAGTCTCACATACTTTCTTGTCCAGGCTGGCTTTGAACTGTGATCTTCAGATCTCAGCCTGCTGAGTAGCTAGGATGACAGGCGAGAGCCACAGGCACCCAGCTCAGGTATTTTTTTAAACTTCGCTAAAAGTGCTTACTGACGGGAAATCTATTTAAGTTCATACAGACACCAACGTGAGATTTTTGCTTTATGGACTTCTTAGGACTTAAAAAATCCTGAAGTGGATTTAGAAAATCGACCTTTATCTTTATCTTCTTATAGACTTAAACTTGTTTTTACAAATTTATATAATACATTGTCAACTGACCCATCAGCACTGAAAATTCCTAATCCTTTTCCCCACAATGAGCTGAAGTAAGACCTTTATCATAAACACACATACTCATGTGTATCTGCATAAATCTCTAGGCTCCCAGAAACCTCCAATTTATAAACATTTTGTGTTTTAGAAATTTGGTTTTTTTTTGGGTCCGGTCGTGGGGCCTGAACTCTGGGCCTGGGCGCTGTCCCTCAGCTCTTCAGCTCAAGGCTAGCACTGTACCACTTGAGCCACAGCGCCACTTCCGGCTTTTTTTCTTTTTGCTTATGTGGTGCTGAGGAATCGAATCCAGGGCCTCATGCATGCAAGGCAAGCACTCTAGAAATTTTATGCAATATATGGAGTATATTTTTTTGGTGCCAGTCCTGGGTTTGAACTCAGGGCAGGCACTGTCCCTGAGCTTTTTTTGCTCAAGGCTAGTGCTCTACTGCTTGAGCTACAGCTCCACTTCTGGCTTCTTGCTGGTTAATCGGGAGATAAGAGTCTCATGGACTTTCCTGCCTGGGCTGGCATTGAACTTCAATCCTTAGCTCTCAGCCTCCTGAGTAGCTAGGATGACAGGCGTGGGCACTGGTGCCCACTAGTAGTGCATTTTCCTTTGGGAATATTTCTGGTACACCTTCCTCAAATACTTTTTCTAGAAATTTACATGTTAAATTTTGAACTTGATATTTCATTTGGCCCAAAGCTAGAGCATCTGTTTGAAACATGAACTACACTACAGGTTTACTTACCAAAATAAAAGACATTTCCTTGCAGAGGAACCATAGTAATATACTGACAGATGAGACAGTTTAATGAAGATACTTCGCACCTTGTAAGCACACAGAGTGTTCGTCTCCTCCCCTTCCAGTTCTTACCTGCTGTAAACTGAGGATGAGGGTCTTGGCACACTGGATCTTATCAATCTGCCTGGTTTTACTAAGGGTTTCCTTAATGATATCACCATAGTCATTGTAGTACTATGAGGAAAAGAAAGAAAAGGGAGCTTTACAACAACTGAAATCTTATGATCAAAGAGTGGACTGGTGAAAGGGCAAGTACAGTATGAATGCCATTCTTTACATCTTAAACATAGTGCAAGTTAAATGTTTGGTTATTAGTTTTAACTCTGGTCTCTCTGTATTTGGTATAAGCTCTGTAGTTGTGTGTGTGTGTGTGTGTCTGTTTGTGGATCTATCTGTGTGTGTCTATCTAATCTATAATCATGAGGAGTCTTTGCTGTCCAGTATACAGAGCAATGCTTTAAAGACAGAAGATAAAATCCATTTTGGTCACTTTGGGAATGCTAATCTAGTGCCGATTTCCTTATTTGTAAGGTAAGTGCTGGTCTGGCCCGGAGTAGTCCTGTCACGTGTGAGCTTCTCAGAGTCTCATGGTTGGTCTGTTCTCCTAGTCAGCTAAGGTCCCGAGCGCGCCTCTGTGCGGCTCTGGGCTGCGGCTGGGACGGCAGGAGGAGCATCCTTACCTGCAAGATGGAGACTGGAAATACTTCAACATTTTCAGACTTTTTGGGACATCTGAACAGACTTTTTTCTGGTAGGACATTCCTCAATCAAAAATCTGAACTTAGTTAAGTGCTTGATGCTTAAACATTTTTAGATTTTGCTCAACCTATACAAGTCCCAAGTGGAACCCGGCCAGCCTCAAACACAGGCCGGGCAGAACATCTCTCCTGTCTGGCTATGCCAGAGTGCTGAGCACCACACTTGGAGAAAAAGCAGCCAGAAACGGTGTTTCTGCTGTCGGTGTCAGGAACTCCTGAGGGGCCCAGATGGACAACGCCATCACCCATTTGCTTTAACGGCACAACAGGGAGGAATCCAAGTTTGAAGCTCTACCTTCATGTAGTGCTTGAAGATGTCCGCGGCCGCGTGCATGTCCACGATGTCGTAAATGATGAGCTTGCTGAAGGCAGCCAGGAGGTTCCTCCTTTTATGTAAGGCTTCAATTTTGTTAGCTTCGTCTTCTTCATCGCCCTCTAAGCACAGGAAAGGAACGAGTCACGAGCCCCGCCCTTCCCGAAGAGTCTGCAGCTGAAAGCTAGCTTCGCTTCTCTTCAAGGCTGCTACCCAGCTCCCTTCTCTCCGCTGGCAAATGATCTATTTTTGCAGCTCACATTTCGCACACATAAATGATAAGCTTTACAAAAACTTTCAAAACACTTAAGGGTATCGCCCTCAAAATCTTAATGTCAAACCTCACTGGCTTACCTATTTCCAACCCTACCCAGTTTCCTTCTAAGGGACCAGATGCTAACATCTGTTCTGGGCTCTGCTATGACCTCTCACATCCAGGCCTGCTTTATTTGACTTCGGCTTAGTTATTTTCTTCTGCACATATATGTACCCGTGGAATTTACTCTTGACACCTTTCTGTGCTTTTTTCTAATTAACCTGTTGTGAAACATGGATGTTTTGAGCAGGTCATACACCAAGTGTTGTACTTTACATAAGGATAGGGTCTCGCTTACATTTTACCCAGGGCCAACTTTGGATTGCCTTCTTCCTACCTATGCCTCCCAGGTAGCTGGGATTACAGCTGTGAACCACTATGCCTGGTTTATTTGTTGAAATATAAGTCTCTCTAACTTTGTCTGTAATGGGCTCAAATTTCAATCTTTGTCCCATGAGTAGCTGGAATTTCAGGCATGACCCACCATGACTGGCTTCTAAGTTACTCTTAAAGAAGGGAGGTGTTATCTACATTTTGTTCTTGTTGGTTCTGAAATGCACAAATATGTATTTATGTACATACACAGGTATGAGTGTACACTTACTTGGTGGTAGGCACCGTGCACAGACAGACACTACCCTGCAAACACTGTACCAAGCTACACCTCAGCCCAATAGTTTACTTCTCTGCAGGAAAGAAATACCCCCATCCTGAGGGGCTTGAACTCAGGACCTGGGTGCTGTCCCTGAGATTTTCTGCTCAAGGCTAGTGTTCTACCACTTGAGCCACAGCCCCACTGAAGGCTTTTTTAGTAGTATATTGGAGATAAAGAGTCTTGGGCTGGGAAGGTGGCTTAGTGGTAGAGCGCTCACCTTGCCTGCATGAAGCCCTGGGTTCGATTCCTCAGTCCCACATAAACAGAAAAAGCTGGAAGCGGCGCTGTGGCTCCAGTGGTAGTGTTAGCCTTGAGCAAAAGAAGCTCAGGGACAGTGCCCAGGCTTTGAGTTCAAGCCCCAGGTCTGGCAAAACAAAACAAAACCCAGAGTCTTATGGACTTTTCTAGGCTGGCTTTGAACTGCAATTCCCCACCCTCAGCCTCCTGAGGATTACTCAGGAGTGAGTAACCACTGAGCCACCAGTGCCTGGTGAAATACCAGAATTTTGAAGATCTAATTTGGTTTTTTTTCTTTGTCTTGTGAGATTTATGAAACAAGATAGATATCGACAAAACAATCACTATAATTACCCATGCTTTGATTCTCTTCATCCTGGTCAATGAAAACATGATCCATCACAAAACTGAGGAGCTCAGACTGGAGGCCCGAATCTGGATTAAACACCAAGGGCTGGAGGCCCTCTCTGCCACCCGTCATTAACTGGTGGCTAAAAATCATCAGAAGATCACAGAGTAACATGAAAGCCTGAAATGGAGAGAGGGAGTGCATTAGCAGAAGTGTGTTTATAGGCACATGACTACGAGCCAGCAGCAGTCAAACCATGATAGTATGGCTCAACAGCAGGACTGCAACGTCAATGTTAAATACTGAAGTTCCAGCCTCCAAATGTCCCAACCTAATAGCATGACTTTATCTCATTATAACCCACATCCCAATACTATCCATTATTTGAGGGTAGTAACGTAGAAACAGATAAAGTATTTTTGGCTTGAATTTGAAAAATCAGTTAAATTCAACTGATAATACAAATGATTCTGACCGACACCAGAAATTTATTACCTATTAAATAGTCAAACAATCAGCCTAAGTTTTAAGATAATCTCTGTAGTTCAGCACATTATAATGTAGAATCCTAAGCCTGTACACTACAATTTGGAATTCTTAAGTAAAAATCTAAAAAAAAAAAAAAAAATTGAATCTAAAACCATAAGTACTGTAAGGCCTCTTAATAAGTTTAGTTACCACTTCACCAAAGACGAAATATTACAATACAGGTCTATGCTGCCAAGTTTTTATTTTGTTTTTGTTTTTTCTTTTTTAAAAAATTAGTGCAAGGTTTGAACTCAGGGCCTTGAGCTCTTTCGCTCAAGGCTAGTGCTCTACCACTTTGAGCCACAGCTCTATTGCTTTTTGAGTGGGTAACTGGAGATAAAGGGTCTCACAGGGACTTTTCTGCCTGGGCTGGCTTCAAACCGCTCCTGTGTAGCTAGGATGACAGGCATGAGCCACTGATCCCTGGCTTATGCTACCGAGTTGTAAATATTTAATGGAGGGGGAGACGTGAATACATGTCATGAGTTTATGTAGTAACTCTGTCGTAAGAATTTTGAGGTTCTGAAATGTCCAAACAATCAACTTATATTCAAACTCTAAACATTTATCTCTAAGGAGCACCATCAGCTGGGCGTTTATTTACGGCTATTTACGGCTAGGAACATCCCAGCCGCCACCTGAGCCACCGCACAGCTCATGTAAACCCTGACCACAGGAGCGCGCTGCAGGAGCCACGCTCACAGGGCGGGCAGGGGGCATGGTGGGAATCCGAGCCAGCCTTGATGCAGACACTGGATGGAGCCGGGCATTTCCAGTCCACACTGCTGGGGTTCTGAGGGGTTAGGGAAGACCATCTCTGTTTCTACTTCCCGTTAAATGCTGATGGTGCAGTAAAAGAGACAGGGCATCGCAGGATGAACAGTGCTACATCTGTCCTCGAAGGTGACCACATCCCGGCCCAGCAGAAAAAGCACAGGCCAGGCTGTGGGGCCCCATGCTTCAAATCCAGCCTATGCGGTGGCAAGGATGGAGGGTGGGCGGGAAGTTTGTGGGGCGTGGTACTCTGGTGGCCAGTGGAAGCGGGAGGATCCGCACCCAGGCCAGCCCCAGCACAAAGTGAGATCTCAAAAGCAAAGAGAGGAGGCTTGGTTCAGGTGGTCAAGCACAAAGCCCAGTACTGAAAGCCAGTAAAAAGTATAGTATGGAAAAGGTAGACTCCGCCTTGCATACAAGTGTAAGTGAAGAAAGTTTCCACAGTGGTTCCTTGGGTGGAGAGGCCTGCGGAGTTGGTGGACTGGAAGGATATTTCCATCGCCACCCTGACTTCTGCACACTGTCCAGGTAGACAAGTCTGGGAATTTCCTGCCTTAACAGAGCGGCTCTTTGTCCAAGCCTTCACAAGGCCTCCTCCTGACACACAGGACAGCTCCAGTACGCCCACTCCGAGGTCTTAGGTTGGTTAAGGGCAGCTGGGTTGCGGAGTGGTACAGGTAAGAGTCTGGGATGGACTAGTTACAAGTGCAGAAATGAAGCTCTTCCCAGCGTGGGAAGGAGCTGAAGAAAGAGGACAAGAAGTCAGCATCAGGGCTCCCACTGTCCTAGTACAGGCAGCAGTCAAGAATTCTAAGCCCAGCCTGGTGCCGGTGGCTCACGCCTGTCAGCCTAGCTACTTAGGAGGCTGAGAGCTGAGGATCACAGTTCAAAGCCAGTCCAGGCAGGAGAGTCTGTGAGGCTCTTATGAACCACCATAAAACCAAAAGTAGCACTGTGGCTCAAGTGGTAGTTGAGCTGAAGAGCTCAGGGACAGCACCCAGGCCCAGATTTCAAGAGGGAGGGAGGGAGGGAGGGAGGGAGGGAGGGAGGGAGGGAAGGAAGGAAGGAAGGAAGGAAGGAAGGAAGGAAGGAAGGAAGGAAGGAAGGAAGGAAGGAAGGAAGGAATCTAAGCTCAATGCCAGTGGCTCATGCCTATCATCCTAGTTACTGGAAGGCCATGATCTAAGGATCAACCCAGCCTGAGCAAGAAATTCCATGAGACTCTTCATCTCCAATTAAAACAAAAACAAAAAAACTAGAAATGGAGTTCTGACTCAAGTGGTAACCGAGCAGTAGCTCTGAGCAAAGAAGTTCAGAGATAGTACCCAAGCCTTGAGTTCAAGTCCCAGGACCAGCACTTAAGTTAGTAAACAGTCAATAAAAATTGGTTCAAAGTTTTTGTTTTTTGTTTTGGACATTATGGGGCTTAAACTCTGGGCCTGGGCGTTGTCCCTGAACAATTCAGCTCAAAGCTAGTGCTCTACCACTTGAGCCACAGCACCACTTCCGACTTTTTCTGCTTATGTGGTGCTGAGGAATCCCAGGGCCTCATGCATGCAAGGCAAACCCTCTACCACGAAACCATCTTCCCAGTTTAAAGTTTTGAACCAGCAAAAGGCAGGACTGGAGGCGTGGCTCAAGTGATGAGTGCCAACCTCGCAAGTACAAAGCCCTGAGTTTAGAGTGTCAGATCTAAATTTAAGCTGGGCACTGGTGGTTTATGCCTGTAATCCTAACTACTCAGGTGGCTGAGGATCATGGTTCAAAGCTAGCCCAGGCAGGAAAGTCTGTGAGATTCTTTTCTCCAATCTACCACCAGAAAACTGGAAGTGGCGCTGTGGCACAAAATGGTAGAGTGCTCGCCTTGAGTGAAAAAGAGCTCAGCGATAGCACCCAGGCCCCAAGGTCAAGCTCCATGACCAAAAAAAGTCTAAACTTAAGTCTTGCAGGTGATGACAGTGTACTTGTCAAAGTACAGGAATAGAGTTTATTTATGAAACAAGTAACTTTGCTTTATAACTACATTATTCAGACATCTACACTCTTGCCCTAGATGTTAGATACATAATACATTACAAAGTGTCATAACATGATGTCTTTTTACTATTCACCTATACATCTGTGTTGTTTTTATCTGGTACTAAATTAATAATTTCTTACCTGTTCTTTAACTGGAGTATTAACATTAGATAGGCACTGTTGGCACACAGCCAGAAAGGATTTCACTGTTTTCCTCAATACCAACAAATCATCCTGGAAGACACAGGCAGATATGCAAGCATGAATTACAGTATTGTACAAAACGGATCCAAAAACATAACAGACAGAAAACAGCCAGACTGGTTCAGCATGAAGGAACTTCGAAAGTTTATCACTGGGAACCAGTTAGTCTAGGTATTTCCTATGACCATACCTAACACGAAGTTGTGTTCAGGACTATCTGGTTGCTGTCCACTTCCTAGCGCACTTCTAAATCCTTCCACTTCCGAGGGTGCTAGGTGTCTTTTTTGCATGCTGATGAGTTGACTGGTGGTGGGTACCTGCCCTGGGTAGCTTCAGGCTGCTCGCTGGAGAGACTCAAACCCTCCCCCACTTCCTGTAAGTGCAACGGCTGACAGCTGGGCCCTAATGGCCAAGGCGGTAAGTACTCAGATAAAAATGCGAAGGGGCCAGCTTTAGAAGCTTCCAGAGAGATGAAAATGAAGCTTCCTGGAGGCCATACACCCGTGCTCCACCCTTGCCCGTATACCTGGCCCTGCTTTTTATTTGTTGTAGTCCAGGCTGGCCTTGAACTACTGATCCAAGTGTGTGCATTACAGGTGTGCAGCACCATGCCTCGCTTGTAACCAATTGGCAAGAGTGTTTCTGTAAGTAAATTTCAGTACAGAGCTTCGGTGAGTCACTGGCAAGTTGTTGGAACCCACCAGGGCCACGGGAAGCCCATGTCCAGCAGGAACGTGCAGCTGGCCTTGAAACTGGGGGTCCAGACCACTACCTGCAGGCAGTGTCGTCTGGCTCCCATCCACTGGGGAACTGCGTGGGTGCTGGTGGAAACAGCCACCCCGGAGGCCCCATGAGGTTTCTGTTCTGAGTACAGAAACGAGTTTGTTTCCTCCTTAATGGCACATGCGGTGGGGGCGAGGGGCTGGCTGGGGATGCACGTGGTCTGCTAAGAGGGGAGGATGGCCCTGCGTCTGACGTCACTGCAGCTGGCGGCAGAGGCCGCGCCATGGACGCTCGTGTGGAGAGGCAGGCAGGACTGACGCTCCCTCAGCCTCACGCATGGATGATTATACTCTGTCCACGATGCTGGACCTCATTCCCAAGGCAATGGCGGCCTGGGGGTGCCCTGTGTAACAGCACCCTGAGGCCTGTGCACTCTGCAACACCCCCCGTAAAACACTGCGCGCGCTACTCCAGACAAAGCAGTCAGTCTGCTTCACACACAAGCCACGCAAGACCGGCTTTGCAATGACCACCGCACAGGACTGACACCCAGGCCACAGCGAACACCACAGGCCCTCCCTATGCCGCCGCAGACCTGAAAAACAGTTCAGGAAGCCAGCTTAGCTACATGGATCTCACAGATACTGATTTAGATGGGTGGAGGCAGGCTACTGCTGTTTAAACCCCACACACCATAGCCAGCTCCCAGGGCCACTGCTGCCCTTGGGATCGGAACCCTCACTCCTACCTTAGGATCCACTTAGGCTCCAGGAACTCTGCCACTGCCCATGATAGTTCCAAACAACACAGAGTTCTCTTTCCTGGGCAATGAAGGAAACTAAAGGAGCCGGAGGGACTGGGGAGCAGCGACGGGAGCACAGGGAGAGACAAACTACCGACCCATCCCACGCACCCCATCCGCACCCCAGCGCCAAGGAGCCGGGAGGTGTGTTCACCCCCAAAGCAGCAGACAGTGGAGCATTTACTTCAATGCTTTGGGCAGGAGAAGTTCAAGAAGCTTTGGGGCTGCGACTTAATGATAACAAAACGGCAGGCATTGTTAACTGAACAAACAACTAGCAGTAAATATATTTCAGTTAGCATATTAAAAAATACGAGTATTAATACTGAAGCTCAAAGTGAAGTTTCTTGCCTATCTTGCTGCAGGAACTGAAAACAGAAAAAATAAAACAACTTCTCCTTCTCCTTCTTCTTCTTCTCCTCCCCCCATCCTCCTCCTCTTTTTCCTTCCTCTTCTCCTTCTTCTTGTTTTTGCTAGTCCTGGGGCTTGAATTCAGGGCCTGAGCACTGTCCCTGAGCCTCGTTTGCTCAAACAAGACTCTTAGCACTTGAACCACAGCACCACTTCTGACTTCTTTGAGTACTTTATTGTAAGAGTCTCACCTTCCTGCCCAGGCTGCCTTCGAACTACAATCCTTAAATCTTAGCCTCCTGAGTAGCTAGATTATAGGTGTGAGCCACCTGGCGTCCAGCCGCAAACTCAAATTTAACCCCAAAGACCATTCTGCAACATGAAAATACTGGAAATATAAGAACTGTGCACTTCTTACATAAACACAGTGGCTCAGCAATGCGTCACCATTTAACAAACACCTAATAGTTGTTAATTACTAGGAAAAAACATTCCCCCCCCAAAAAAAAATACCCTGCAAGGGAATAAAACTGTATTACCGTGTCACTCAAGGGGTATTAAGCAGGGTAAGATACCTATTTTATTTCTATTTAAATAAACAGCAAGACAAGGAAAGTAGACTATTTGATCGCTAATGTTGGTGGAAAAACCTCCCATCTCTATACTACTGGAGAGTCTTATGTTTTGTCTAAATAATCCTAATATTGCCTTAGGCCTCTAAGATCAACAACTAAAGCACATTCTTGTGTTGTAATAATTGTGAGTTATAACAAACCTAAGTAACAATTCTCGTTTCTGGCTTAGCTTTCACAGAGCACTCTATAGGAAAACTAGGTTCCTGAAGGCCCAGGACATCAGGTTTAAAACTCTTACTGAAATACTGGAAGAACCATGACTCATAATTTTTTTTTGGGGGGGGGGGGGGGGAGAAACAGGGCAGTCCTAGGCGCTGTCCCTGAGCTGCTTTGGCTTAAGGCTAGCGCTCTACCACTTGAGTCACAGCACCACCTCTGGCTTTTTCTGTTTATGTGGTACTGAGGAATCGAACCCAGGGTTTCATGCATGCTGTGCAAGTACTCTACCCCTAAGCCACATTCCCAGCCCAAATTTTTACTTTTCTTTTTTTTTTTTGGTCAGTTGTAGGGCTTGAACTCTGGGCCTGAGCGCTGTCCCTCAGCTCTTCAGCTCAAGGCTAGTGCTCTACCACTTGAGCCACAGCGCCACTTCCGGTTTTCTGGTGGTTTATTGGAGATAAGAGTTTCACGGACTTTCCTGCCCGAGCTGGCTTTGAACCGTGATCCTCAGATCTCTGTCTCCTGAGTAGCTAGGATTACAGGTGTGAGCCACTGGTGCTTGGCAAATTTTTACTTTTCTAGGTTGAATATATTTACTATTTACTTTTGGTTTTTGGAAGGTTTTTGGGTTTTTTTTATTTGTCAGTAGTAGGACATATCCCTGAGCAATTTTTGCTCAAGGCTAGCACTCTACCACTTTGAGTCACAGTGCTACTTCTAGTTTTCTGGTGGTTTGCTGGAGGTAAGAGTCTCAGGGACTTTCCTGCTTGGGCTGCCTTTGAACCGTGCTTCTCAGATCTCCGCCTCCTGAGTAGCTAGCATTGCAGGAATGAGCCAGCAGTGCCCAAGCTCCAGAGGGTTTTTAAATGCTAAGTTGGATAAAACTTTCAAACACAGAACTTTAGATAAACAGACCTACTTTATACTCCAGCTTTTTTTTTTTTTCTAAATGAAAGACCCTTCTGAGAATTGAGCAAGAAATGGCTCTTTTTCCCCTCCTATTTTGAGAGCTAGAATCAGAAACCTGTGACTGCATGTGATAACATCAAGAATAAAACCTACTAAGGAACAAGTCTGGAATCATGGACTGACCAAGCAAAGGCTTACAACTAACTGGACAGCTAATGAAGATAGAATTCTTTCTTTTTTTTTTTTGGTCCAGTCGTGGGGTCTGAACTCTGGGCCTAGGCGCTGTCCCTCAGCTCTTCAGCTCAAGGATAGCGCTCTACCACTTGAGCCACAGCGCCACTTCCGGCTTTTTTTTCTTTGTTGCTTATGTGGTGCTGAGGAACCGAACCCAGGGCCTCAGGCATGCAAGGCAAGCGCTCTACCACTGAGCCACCTTCCCAGCCCCTGAAGATAGAATTCTCAAGAAATAAAAAAGATAGAGGCAAAGGATTCGAGCAGGAAAGAAGTGAAATTAAATGGCTATCACTAGTAAAGATGTGCTCCTGTAGGGACAGCAATTATTTCCCATGTGGGCCCCATTCCCTTCCTTTTTAAACCAGTAGCTCTGCAGATAGAGATGTGTGCCACAGGAATTCTGGGCAAAAACCCAAGAGAGGTAACTCTTGTTCCCTGCTACTCAGCAGGAGAACAGAAAGATCCAGAAAGCAGCCTGTATAGGTCTTCTTTCCTGCCTGTTTCTAGCACACTTCTAGGAGTGTTCTCGTGGGGAGAAGAACAAGGCTAAAGGGGCTTGACCGTCAGCTCCCCTCTCGCTTCTTCCTTCTCTACTCTGGAGGTTACAGTGAAAGATGCAAAGGAGAACCCTAAGTCAGAAGCGTGCAAAGAAACAAAACTTATACGCACAGTGAGATCAAAGGAGGAGACTCTTAGGAGAGGAACACAAAGGCTCAAGGCCTACGTGCATGATTATAAAAAATGTTTATCAAAATCAACTCCAGGAAAAGGAAACGAGGCTTTTTCTTTGTTGCTGTTTTTCTTTTCTATCTTGTTTGTTCATTTACCTGTCTTTGGGAGGGTAAAGGGAGACGTAAGTGGAGAGAGAGAGTGAACAAATGTAGCAGTGGTACTCACTAGGCATTGTGTTGAAAATGAACTATACATTTGGGGGTGGGGATGGGAGGGAAAAACTGCTAGAGAATGTGAGAAGGGGGGACACTATCCAAAAAGAAATGTACTCATTACTTGACTTAAATAACTGTAACCACTGTAGATCACCTTTATAATAATAATTTTAAAAATTTGTAAAGAGAATTTGTTATCTAAGCACCTGAATCATAACTTTCATTTCAGCTGGTCGGGACAGTTGACGAAAACGGGAGTAACAGCAGGTCCCAGGCGGGGATGTTTGTGCAGCCTCTCTTCGGCAGTCCAGAGTACAAACACACAGGGCA